CCGTATTCGAGATATATTTTGGATATTTTTTGACAAATTGTAAATCGATCAATTGTCGAGACTTATAATTAAATTTAATTAAATCATCGCCGATAAATAATTAAAATGAACTTTATCAAGTTTTTCGTCAGGAGACTCGTTAACGTTCCTTTCAGTAACTAACAAAAGAACCTCATTATCCACGTATCGATACGCCTGAAAAATCGATTGCGTTAAAATGAAAAAAAAAAAAAAAAGTGAAAATGCTTTTTCCCATTGATCCATAGAAAGAGAAAATGACGGCAGGGGAGAAGGTGAAACGCGATCAGTCGTGATGGGGTTGTGAATTTTGGTTGACGACAGCAACAGAGCATGCAACACCACCCGATCAGTCATTAAATCGTCGCCGATTTGCCTTTTGTTCTTCTCCACCCCTGTCGCGCGTTCTCCACTATTTTACCATTTTTTCACTCCACTTTTCTCGACAGGGGGAGGTGGGGTTAATCGGGTTAAGCCGTTTTGCCTCGAAATGAAGAAGAAAAAGACGTGGGGAATGGGTGAGGGCGAGGAGGAGAGTGTGAAAGCGATGGAGCAAAACGTTTTTAATTGTTTCGTGGCGAAGGTTTGCCTTTTGTTTCACCGTTGTATTTTCCACCCCCTCGATATTCCACACGGGGTATGAGTCCATTGAATTTCATCAAAACGTTCGAGAAATTTTCAAAAAGAAATTATATCAATCGATATATTTTTTTCAACGGGATATTGATGAGGAGTTTCTGGAGAAGAGAGGAATGTAATTATGAATGGGAAACCTTTGACGGACTGGGGAGTTTTATTTTTCATGAGACTTCTTCGGGTTTCCCGGAGATCATCCCCGTGTACCGGACAGAGGAGAAAAATTGAAAAAGAATCTGTGGTTAAAGTTTCGTACAAACACTCGACTAAGAAACATCTTCTTTTTCTCCTTTGCACACCCGAGTACATCTAGGTAAATGTCAAGCTCCTCCTCAGGTTCCCAACCCTCTGATATATTTCTCTCATTGCGCACCCTCGCACATGGAATCACGATTATATCTTCTGGAAATAATATTACGCGACTGCAGGCGCAATCGGTTAAATACAACTGGAAAGAATCGACGATTGGAAAGAATTGAACTGTTGAGAGAGAGAGAGAAAAAAAACGGGAGATAGTCCATTGTGAAGTGGCGGTACAGTGAAAATAATTTCCTGGTGTCGACGCCAGAAGTGGAAGGTGAAATGCCGCCTGGGACAAAGTTTCTTGGCTTCGTGTACTAAACTTTTTGTCTCTTTACTCTTGTCTCGGTAAGTTTGATGTACCACGGTGTAAGAGAATACACGGAGTCAACTCCACTCTTTCAAATTTATCCCGTTAAAATTTATTAGAATAGAAGGGCTCGGAGTGGACCCGCGTCACAATCAGCAGCTGGCGATTTTACAAATAATCAAAATAATTGAGTAAATCGGTATTTTGGAAATATAAAGTGATTAATCGTGTTAGAGTTACGTTGAAATACTCAACAAACATTGAAACAAGGAACTATGAGCAGAGGATAGACCTCGTAGAGGAGTTAAAATCCTAAAAGAGCAAAGTCCGGAGTTGGACGACCCCTTGAAGTGGTTTACGCATATATCTGCAAAACACGATGTATTATACGGTTTTATGCATGACTATTTTCCCCGGGGGATGTGAATGCGAGTAAAATTTCTTGGCCCTCGAGTGTCCACGTATAATGGGGACTCGTGATCATCCAAGTTTCCTCGAGTTGGATACGTCCAATTCCACTGACACTCCACCATCACTTGTATATTCCTTGTGGCCATATCTTTCACCCTCACAATATCATCCCAAATATATATATATATATATATATCGATAGACTTGATATTCAGCTAAGTACTAACCATCCAAGTACCATTTCCTCTCCAAGATTTTCCCTGGGTTGGAGGCACTGGCCCGAGAAATTCAATTACTGCTGGTGAAACTTCTTGAGTTAAGTTTCTATAACTGCTTTTCAATGGGTCTATACAACAGTGTCGTGGATGGCCCAAGAGGTGGGGTGAAATGAGGGGAATTTAATTGTAAATATCGAAATAATTAAAGCAGGTATTGATATTGATAAATAAACAATTGAACTGTTAAAACTGTTCCTATTCGTTCTCATGGAATTTTTTGGGCATCAAAAGAGCAACAAATATTGAAAAAAATGAACAATTAACGACACGCGAATCAAGTAGAGATTGGTACACACGTCCAAGTATCATAGATATTCAACAAAAAGAGTCCAGTACAAAACTACCCGTGACAAGGAGTGATGTAAGTGACTCTCTGTGCCATTGTGTTTCACCACTTGGACAAAAGTTTATCGAATAAAAACCGTTGATCGTTAGTACACATTGAAATGCCCATTTATCGAACAATAATTTTTCTCCTTTCAACGCACTTTAATGTGGGTAAAAGGTCCTGGAAGTGCACGCGTTCACCCTCGAGTTCTATAGAACTACTTAGTATTTTTCTTGGATAACTAATGCCTTTGGGCGAGCGCGTGTCGACCCCCGAGGGCCCTCGTTCAACTTTATAATACTTTAATCAACACCTGGAGGAGTCCAAAACGAAATCTGCCCCAAATAAATAAATAAATCCCATTGGAGTGAAACAATGATGCGGGCTAAAGTCAAATGATCATCATCAACTCACCACTCATTGATCCATCATTTTTATCTGGTGATGGATATCCGTCCTGGGGAACCCTCATCCTCAGCAGTCCGCAGTCATTTTGTTGGTGCAATTGTGTCTGGATCTGTGCTGCTGCTGCAGCAATAGCTAGACCAGCTGGACTCGAGACATGAGGATGTGGTGGTGGACTGTCACGAGTTGGTGCTGTTGATGATGATGTTGGCATGACAGGACCACTGGTGCATCCACCGTTATTATACTGCAACTGTAGACCCAATTCTCTGGCTTCACTCTCCTCCTGCGCCTGTTGTCTCCTCAGGGCAACCTGGAGGGAACAATATTTATACTGGAGACAATTTTATCAACTGAATAGGTTCCTCGGATATTCGGTACATGCCGTTTTCAGGAACGTGTGATTAAAAAATTAATGATCATTTTCATGGATTCAAATATCGGATTAATAATTCCAGACTCGATACACCATTTCGTTGTGTATCAGTAACCGAGTGTCATTTTTCGGTAATAGGAAACAAGAATTGTAAGACGAATACGTACAGATGCATAATGTAGCACGAGGGGATGAAAGAAAAATTCAAGAGGTGGGTTACGAGGGGTTGTACACGGAAAATAAATTCACGGTGGCTGCGTAATGTGACACGATAGGCTGGTTATATTTCACATTTACCTGCCCACCCCTTGTAAATTCGTTATTCGGTAACAGTGTACTCCAGTGAGAGGAGAATTGAATTACAAAATGTAAGGCAGTCAAAAGAGGGAATATACCCCCTCTTCTGGGAGGTGGAGCTCTGTCGGATTTTTTTCTTTTGTCATTGATCCTCAAGAGCTTGCAACATGTACTCTAAATTATTATGAATAAAATTCTTTTCAATCCTTTTGAAATAATAATAATCCAGTTTGACAAAAAAAATGGGAAATAATAAATTGAAAATTGAAGAGAAAAAAAATGAAAATACCCTCCACGTGGATTAGAATAGCGAAGATGGGAATTATTATGAATAATTATGGTAATTATTTAATGAACCAACCTGTGCAGCCATAACCCTCTGCCTCTCGGCAATTAACGTGCATTTAGCACAAACGCAATCCCTCCACCGGCAATACCGTTTATGTCCCTTGAGAGCCGACACAACTCCATGATTTCGACACCTCGCGCACTTGGGTGTCCTCTGATACCTTTCAGCACTGGCACGTAGAAAAAATGCAGCAGGCAGTACATGATGCTGCTGCTGCTGCTGCTGATGCTGCATCAACTGTCCAACATCGACACCCAAGCCAACACCCCGGGGCAGCGACATGATACCACAATAAATGATCAGAAAATTTCCAAAAATCCAGATCGCCAGAGCATCACAGAATCACCAAGTCACTTGTTTCACACATGACCGGAAAAAAAAATTGCAAACAAATAACAAATAAACCGCAACCAACATTAATCCCTGGCGGTTAATGTCGGTAAATGTTGCAATGCCAATCGTACGGTATCACGTTCCCCGACTATTCAAATTGTCATAGGGCATTTGTCCGTCGGCATCGGTAAACCCTTACACTCTGAACTGGAAAAACGGGATGGCATATGCGCAATGCATAAACCGCGCAATGTCGCAATGTCTCATTCGTCCTGCCCCTCAGCCAACCAACGATCAAGGATAAAGTCCTGATACTAACTATCACCGTTTATGCGCATCACTGAGACAATATAACATCCACCGGATACCGATCACACACATAAACCCAAAAAAATTAACAACCGGCGATTGACGGGTTAAAACTCCCGATGCAGATTAATCGGTGAAAAAAATGGTGGAGCATCGCGATCACCAGGAGTTGCGTTCGGCTCTGGGGCCAAGTGTCTAGTATTCAAGGCGTTGTCAACAATTGCAGCATTCTCATTGTGTCGATGGTGGGGGAAATTTGACAGTGAGGGTGGCACACGGAGGGAGGCGGATGGGAAAGGGGATGGTATCACAAAAGGTGGGGAAAAGATGAAATTTTCGCGATGGTGGGATGCGGTGTTGGGTGGTGGGGCGATCAAGGGGGGATCATGCCTGAAACTAACTATTCCGTATTGCCCCACCACTGTGAAAAAGCGTGAAATAAAAACAGAGTGCCACAGTGTACCCACCCCGGGATTTCAACCATACGCAACCCGCCGTTGGGCTGTACGGGCCACGCCTGCTCGGCTCTACTATTGGTCGAATTATATTACCAACCCAGACGGTTACCACAGGCAGTTGATGTTTAAGAGTTTATATCCTACTATTCTGTATTTCTATGGGACCCAACCTTCCTGGGGTATTATTGTATTTCTGGGGCTGTCTCACTTGCCAGTGCTCCTGCTACGTGCATTTACATTTGATGGGGGCTTGTGTTGGATGATATTTAGACAAATAAATTCAGTTTCGCGATTTTTTATTCGGTTTTTGTTGAGGGGAGTGTATGGGTCGCATTGTGGGCCTTTCGATTCATTTATTTGACAAAATTGCAGGGGGTGGACTCTTTGTTTTTCATAACTAAGCGTTTTTTTTTTAGAGTTCTATTGTACAAAATTTTTATACGGTCAATTGTGGCAGAAATTCGTGGAGAATTTTACAATTTTGGCATTTTCAAATGAAGTTACTTAATTATTTTTCATGATATTGTTTATTTGAAATTAAAAATCGAAGGGGGGAATCGCGAGGCTTTTTTTTTTAATTCTTCATTCAAATTTATGAAAGACTTTTGAATTCCAGTGACCACTGAATTCCCACCCACTCCATGAAAAGTGGATCTCTCAAAAACGATTGAGGGTAGATCCGAGAGATTAAAACTCTGTTACAATTCCACCCTCACATTGTTTGGCTTTTGACAGTCTTTCTATTTTCTACTGAACAATTCACCGGGTACTTCAGTGCGAACAAACCCTCAAAATCTGATGGCATATCTCCATCCGATCTAATCTTCTTCCGCAGGATTGCGCGATTTCTCGTTTGTTGGCAAACATCGTAATTCGAGATTATGTATCCCCCAAGTGATCGGATACGTTTCTTTTCTCGCTCGATATAATGCCAGCCGATTTTTTCCTTCTTACCCGGGGGTGATGGGAAATTTAGAATTTTTTTTTTTTCGGGTCGCAGGTACCTGTTGCCCAGAGGCAATCGCGTCTCGAGTTATTTTTAAATAAATGAATTAATGAGTTACAGCAACAGTTGCTCATGATTTCACGCGAATGATCATTTCACTGAGTGAATGAAATGCCGATTCATCGAACGATCAGAAATTTTGCATGAAATGAAATTTTCCATTTGCATGACGAAATAAAAATGGTAAAAGTGAATATAAATTGAAGAAGCTCGACGGTAGATCCCCCGAAAATGAAATATACCTCGGATTTTTGACGTTTGGCTTTTAACAGATTGAATTGAAAATGGCCCCTGGCATCGACACGACAGAAGAGCATATCTGTCTGAAAAAAAATGACTGTTCGAACCGGTCGGGAGGAGCAGCTGAAATACAGATATATATTCGTTAAAATGCCTTTTTTTTCTCACTGTCTCTCTCCACATATTCATTTTCACGTTCGCTGATCCGGCACATTGCAAAACCGAAACGACGGTATGGGATTCGTCGGTAAAATTCCGATGGGAGGATATTATTTTTCCATGGACTGTGGTCAGCTGAATCCTACCGAAGGTGGAGGAAAATTATGTGCCAGTTCTCTCTGAAAAATATATGTATTTAGCCCCAACTGTCCTCAGAGTTTGAATAATAAAAAAAAAACATTGAAAATGGAATAAAACTCGGGCTGATGGATATGGACGGAGCGGGAAAATGGTCAAAGCTAAAACCCTCGAATGCTATATATTATCAGGAACCCTTCAAACACAGCATTTGAAAGCCCATATATACATCTTCCTGGGGTTTCAGACTGTCCACAAAAATTCCTAGCGATTCGTTTCTCCCTTTCCAAATCTAATTCACTATATTTTTTGATGACACGTCGAGGGCTTAACTTATTGCTCGCTTTTCAAGGCGTGAAGCAACCCATTTTGTCACTCCACTGACAGAAATGATTTTCACATTTTTAGATTATATTTCTATAGAAATTTATTTTTTTGCGAGAATCACGCGAAATGTTCCGTCATTTTTCTTCAATACATGTATCCCGGAAAAATCGGGGGTTTGTAATAATTTTTTTTTTTATTTTGCAATTGCAATTCGGTTGCTGGATTGAATGATAAAAAATGGTGTTTTCGGAGGGAATGAGGGGAGGATGTGGGCGTGGTGATTGAGGTAGAACCTCGAATCTCCTTCCAGCTGAGTGAAATCACTGGAACCAATGCGATACACAATTCCAACTGGCAACTGTTGCCATCAACGCACGCGCACAATATTCCAGGATTTTTAATTTAAAAAATGGCGGAATAATTCACGTAATCCGCAACACGACTTTCATTTTTTTTTTGGAGAAAAGATTTATTTTCCTACCCTGTACCGATTCCATTCATCTCCAAAGGCCTCAGCATCTCCTGTCGTAATCGGAGAAGTGAATGTTCTCGTCCCCTCGAAATCTTGGATTCCATCGGCTTCTCGAGTTGAATTCTTCCTGGACCTTTGTTTCTTCAGAATTGTTTCAATATCAAATTTTCGCTTTCCAAAAAAAAACCAGAGAATTGAGAAGTGAATGAATTTTCGAATTTCAAATTCTTTCAGATTAAAAATTTCTATCTAATATCATTAAACATTTTGTAATAATACAAAACGTGAACTACTATATTTATATTTTTTTAAAACCATTGATAAACTTTTAAAATCGAATTAAAAAACTATTATTAACTGTTATTAACTACTATAAACAATTATGAATTGTCAAAATAATAGAGAATTACCGGAAAGAGATTATCTTTAGAAAATTATTCATTAATAAAGATTCAAGTTTTTTTTTTAATTATTGGCCTGAAACGCCTCCCAAGAGACCTCTCGCGGACATTCTACGATCTATCGAACTTATTCCATCTCGATAAAAAAGGGAGCTCCGACTAGAGAATCAAGAAGAGACTCTTAACGCCCAAACATTATGTAATAATAATAATATAAATATATATAATGAGACACCGGGCAGGTGCGAGTGTGATTATTGATACAACCTATCCAAAACTCAAAAAAATGTCGTGATTCTCAAATTCTTTCTATGAAAACTCAAAAACCCGTGTTTAAATGAATCGACAATAAAATATATAAAATTCGTAGTGAAAAAAATGGATTTGTAGGTTTTTTCAGTGAGTAATTGTCAAATTTTTGTTGTAGATTAATTCGAAGACAAATGAGAATAATTAATAATCTCATAATTAATTTCCTGTCGTGGGGGTATTGATTAATTTCAGATTTCATTTCAATTTAAGAGCTCGCAAGCCTCACGTCAACAATGCCAAAGCTCTGGTCATACTTCGCCCTCCTCCTCTGGATATCTTACCTGATGACCGCAGGTCTCTTCCTCTTCATCGACGGTTTCTTCCTGACTCGAGTCTCCCGTCCAGAAACAGCCAACTGCACATTATGTCGAGGAGACTCGTGTTCCCCAGAGTCCCTCCTGAAAAACACATCATCCCCAGAGATTTGTCTGGAACCCAGAGGTCGAGTGGTTGTGCTGGTGATTGATGCCTTAAAATACGACTTCCTGGAGTGGACAGAGGATCCACCAGATATCAACTTCCACCGGAATAAAATTCCAATAGTCCACCAGCTGTTGACAGAGCAGCCACATAATGCGAGATTATTCAAGAGCATTGCAGATCCACCAACGACGACAATGCAGAGGATAAAAGCCCTGACCACAGGAACACTCCCCACGTTCATCGACATCAGCTCGAACTTCGCAACTGGCGAGATCGATGAGGACAATGTCATCGATCAGAACAGAAATAATGGTGTTGTCTTCATGGGTGATGACACGTGGACAGGACTTTTTCCATCTAAATTCCTGAGGCAATTTCCATCCCCTTCATTCAACGTTCTCGATCTAGACACTGTGGATCGAGACGTGAGAAATCGAATTTTTTTTGAGCTCCAGAGGAAAGACTGGGCTCTGCTGGTTGCCCATACCCTGGGGGTCGATCACTGCGGCCACAAACACGGCCAGAATCATCCTGAGATGATCCGAAAGCTCAACGAAACGAATGAACTGATCAATGAGATCATTCAAGTTCTCGATGAGCACACGATTCTTTTTGTCATTGGGGATCACGGGATGACGGAGTCCGGGGATCATGGAGGAGATTCCCCAAGTGAAGTGGAGGCTGCGATGTTTGTTTATTCGAAACAACCACTGCAGGAGTTTATCTTCCTGGAGCCCTTGAGGATTGTCAACCAGATCGACATTGTGCCGACATTTTCTGCTATTCTAGGGACACCCATACCATTTTCCAATATTGGGACTGTTATCGTCGATGCTCTGCCAAAATTCAGGAATGGGACTGATGATGAAGAACACCCCTGGTACACGGTGCATGCCGTTTGGAGAAATGTTATGCAGACTAAGAGATACATCGAGGCCTATTCCTCTGACACATTTCTCTTCACCGAGGAGAAGTTAGAAACCCTGGAGAAGCTGTACGAAAACGTCCATGATCACCTGAAAAATATCACCGTCGAAAAAGATTTGAATTCTTTTCTAAAAGCCTCTAGTGACTATTTCAAATACCTCCGGGACTCCTGCATCGAGATCTGGGTGCAGTTCGACGCAAATCTAATGTCCCAGGGTCTTCTCCTCGTGTTTTGCGTTCTCTTCTTCATGTACCTGATCCTATCTGGAATCCCCGAGGTGCAAATGCTCAAAATCCTGGACTCATCTTTCCTCAGGATCTCTCTAGCTGGGAATATTGCATCAGCCGCTGTTATTTACACCCTCTACTCCTTGAATATCCTCGAAGACTTCAAGAACACGAATTTCTTCGTCTCCGGTGTGATCTCCCTATCTTTTCTAGTCATCCTGGTAATCCAGAATTGGGACATTATCTCATACACATGGTACACCAATCCCAAGCCCACGAAATCCGATTATCTCCTCAGGGTGATCCCGAGTCTGGCGATCGGTGGATTATTCTCCAACAGCTACGTCGTCCACGAGGACAAGGTCCTCTCATTCCTCTTGATTACTCTCGTCTGGGTGCTGGTCTACACGATCAATGACGAGCCTGAAAATTTTTACAGGAAATCCAAAAAGTCGTCGAAGCTTTATCACCAGAGAATCATCTTCATCACGATGGGTTTCTTCATCTGCATGGCAATCCGTATGTCCAGCTACTTCTGGCGATGCAGGGAGGAGCAGCTCGGTAACTCCTGCACAACCACGATCCTCGGAAAAGTCGGCTCCATGACTTCCAATAACTTCGAGAGAATTCTTCTCATTTTTACACTCATTGGATTGGCCTTGTACATCACAATCATGAGAATGTGGCTGACAAACTGTGGAAATTTATCTGGATTCTCACTGAGTACAATTCTAGCCAGATACTGTCATCCCCTCATGGTGGTCTGCATGGGTAGCTACTGGGTCCTCCAGACACTGCCCAAGGATCCCAGAGTCAAATTCGTCTTCGCCTGGCAGATAAATGCATTTGCACTCGTTGTTTACTGGTGCGCCATTCTGGCTGTTGTTGTGATATTCATCAAACCACTCCAAGTGTTTCTTCTCCCAAGGAATCAGGAAACCCTGAATGTCTACCAGGGTGAGAATATCGTGCCCAAATTATTTGACAAAGTCAAGGAATTGTTCTACACAAGGAAACGAGAGGGAGATGATGATATTCCCATCGTTTATGGACTTGGCACTGTTTACAGTGCTGCATTCATATCGTTGGGAATTGTTGGGAGTTTAATTTATGCATTACTGCTTGGAAACGTTCTAGCTCCAACTGTCTTGCTGCTGGTTGTTACAGTTACTGTTATCCTGGGAATTGTCGCTGTCGAGAGATACAGAAATGCTAATGACATTTATGAACTCATGCAAGTATCCAATACTGCTGTTTTATCCTGGTTTCTCATTGCTGAGTATTTTTTTTATGGAACTGGACATCAACCAACCTTTCCCACTATTTATTGGGACGCTGCATTTGTTGGAACTGAGGGGCATTATTACGGAAATATTATTCCAGCTATTTTGATTGGAATAAATACTTTTGGCTCGCATTTACTCATGGGGATCACTCTCCCTCTCCTCGTCATCTCACCATTCACAATTCACGCGATGATTCCTAAATTAGCAAGAATGAAATTCCAAGGTGATGCGGACATGAAGAGGGGAGAGCTCATTTTATTTGATAAAGACAATGCATTCCATACAGCTGTTTTTAATACATCAGCGAGATATATTCTTCTTCATGGATTCAGAGTTTTCGTTTGTATGTTCGCTGCGACAATTCAATGTCGTCACCTCATGGTCTGGAAGATATTTGCACCGAAATTAATTTTCGAGGGATTGAGTTTTCTCGTTACCCTCGGTAGTACTCTCGCCTCATTTTTTCTAGTGATAAGAATTGATAATCAAGTGGAGAAATTAATAACTAGGGTAACCAAGGCCAGATGATAAATTCATGGATAATAATCCACGACCATTAGACGTTTAAATGCGAACCAATAAATTTAGATGAATGAAAATATTGTGATGCCTCGGGCGACTTATCAGTCCCATTTAAACGGGACTCCAATTATCCCAGTTGTATTCTAATTAACGACAGATGATTCATACTGTTTACAGTATTTTATTGTCAATTTTTTACTACTATTGTACTCAAATCTCTTTTTAAATAAAGATAAAACTTGTAATGCGACGACCAATAATTAATTATCTGTCACTCTTCCAATCACTGCACTTCAATTACTGGCTGTCAATTGATAATTGACATCATCCAAATCACTTGTCACTAATTAAAATTGCCAATGCAAGGGGAAAATATATTATACCCCGAGTTATTTAAATCACTTCACTAGACTTGAAAATTTTTCACATTTAGCATTAACACTTGGAAAAGGAAAAATTTTTCGACACATCCCGCGTGATGATGAAATTGTTGAGTTAGAACACACGAACGCTATCCTGCGTGCAATGCATTGCTGCTCATAATAATACGAAGCAACGCACTTGATGCAGGATTGCGTCAGCGTGCAATCGATGACAGAAGATCCCCGACGTTGAATTAACAATGGAAAAATATAAATCAAACGAATTAAAAATTCATTCGAATGCCAACGATTTTTTATTGGTGAGATACCTCACGAGATTTACATGGTATCAATTAATTTAATTCGAAATTATGCTGTACTTCGCTAGTTTAGGGTTTATCCATTTTGTCGAATCTATGAAGAAGTTTCCTCCCTTAATGATGGCTGTGATGATGTCTGCGTTCGCCTTGCTGGCTCTTGAAATTTTCAGCCCATTGGGCCCACTGCTTCCCCCAGTCCTCGTATTCATTCCCCTGAGATTCCTAAAATCAAATTAAATCATTACAATAAAAAAAATAAACGCTCGAAGACCGCATTAACGATCATTTCAGAGTGATTTTTGTACTGAAGTGATGGAACAATTCGATAATCTATACTCAAGAATTTCTACTGAATAATTTACTGTCAGCCCTTCAGTGCACAATAAATCATCAAATTCTTATCGATAATTAAGAGACTAACACTTTTATACCCCGGTGAACCTGCTGGAGGCATATGAATCTGAAATTAGATTTTCAATTTGAAATCGAAATGAAAAAATTAATAATCTCAAGGAATCGACTTACAAAGAGCTTGATACCGCCTCCCTGCTGTCCAGGAGTCGATCCACCCCCAGCCTGAACGGTTTCAACAGCTCCAGGTGGCATGCTCTGGTATCCCTGATGCATGGACATCTGAACAGCCCTTTTCCCCTGCCTATTTTCATAATCTCCCTCGTCAACGTTCCTTTTGACAGCACTGGAGGGATAACTCCCAGGATAAGCAGCCCAGTACCCAGGGAAGGACTGAACATCTCCTGGGAGAGGAGTCTTCTCCAAGCCATCCAATTTCCTCTTGATGGCGTCCAGAAGAGTCGTGTTAAATGTCATAACACTTCCACTGGTTTCAGGTAGTGCAACTGGTGCTTCAGTGGCTGATGCTGTTTTTATGGTCTCCTGGATGGCCTGGGTGATGTTCTTCTGCATTGCCGTGAGCATGTCGAATAGTTGACTGAGTGTCAGCATCTTCTGCTTGAAGGGAAGGGTAGGATCGACAGTCGGTGGTGCGAACATCGCGGCCCATGGGGACAGAGGCTTTCCAGGCTTTCCAGGTTTTCCTGGTTTTCCAGAAACACCAGCTGCTTTCTGCGCCAGGATCGCATCGTTCAGGGTATTGAACATATCAGTCTTTATGGAGCCGAGCTCTCCCATGATCGAGTCGACGATTGCGTCCTTGGCGGTTGTGATCGTCTGAAGATCCTCGACAGATCTGGCGACAACAGTTTTTGGTGTGAGGGAGTTGTCGAGGGGATCAGGGGATGAGAGGCTTTTGTTTAATTTCAGACTGTCGAAGAGTTTCTCCAGAAATGTGGAGACCTTGTCCGTGTATTCTGTGGGACCGGGGATGATGGCACTGGGTAGCCAGAAGTCCCCGGGGACGATCGTACTCTTGGCGATTGGAATTTCGGTGGTGGGGAATGACTCAGGGAGTGATTCCGTTGGAGCGGCGAACGGTAACCAGAAATTTGGAGGAACAATTGTGCTCTTCGGGGCTGTTGGGTCTACCACTGCTCCTGGAGGTGCTGGAGTACTTGTCGCTAAACTGCTGAAGAGAGAGTTCAGGAAGGCCGTTTTCTTCGTCATGTAGACGCTAGGATCTACTACGGGTCCTAGACCGAATGGACCGAATGGTCCGAACATTCCTAAAATTGCACGATCAATTTGAATTCACACGCGCAATCCCAGAAATTCCATAAATAATAATTACCTGGAAGATATTGCTTCGGGACTCCAGAGGAATCGGTTTCTGGTTCCTCAGGGATGGAGGTGAGACCTGGATACGGTGGAGGTGGTCCCACATTTTTCGGTGTCTCCGGAGCAACTCCAAGAATTGCACGTCTTCTTCGAGATGATTCCTCAAGGTCCTCTGAACTACCCACAGGGTTGACTCCAGAGATTGGGCCGAAAGGGCCGAATTTGGAAGCAAACGGACCGTAAGTGACTCCCGGGGGACCGAAAATTCCGCGTTTCAATTCACCGGAGGTCTTATCCTCGCCGAGGATGGCTTTCAAGTCTGACGTGTCCTTAGTGTCACTGGCGTAAAGGAAGGGTTTGGTGGGCCCTGCGGGGACCACTGGCCCAAGACCTCCGAAAAGATTTGCCAACATGTCTGTCTTCTTTGAAATCATCGCCTGGGGATCCACAAATTTTGGAAAGAACGGCGAGGCTTTGGGTGTGTAGGGGATCGTTATCGTGCTCATCCCCGGGGCCACCGCTGGGCCCAATGATCTAGCGTATGCTTGAACCAAAATATTCGAAAATTATACGGCAATTTATGAAGGGATTATCATTTTTTTATAACCGGTCTACCTGATTTTCCTCCGAATGGAGCGTATGGAGCACCGAATGGAGGGTAAACTGGAGCTCCAAAGGGAGGATATGGGGCTGGGGATCCAAAAGAGGCAAATGATGAATCATCTCCGGGAGTACCGAATGGTGATGACTTGGCGGCACCGTAAGCTGCCCAGGGTGATGCTGGAGGGATTGAATGGTGTCAGTTAATTTTGAAATTTGAAATTGTCAGGGGAATGTTGTGGGAATACTTCACCTGGTTTTCCCACCCAGGGGGGTGGACCTCCTTTCATCGGCGGGGGTTTCGCGGTCGCCGAGGTGGCGATTATTAAAAACACTAGGACAACACCTTGACGAATCATCTTGTTAGACTTTACTGAATTGTTATCACTGAATATCTCATCTTTTATACCCCATCTAGACCCCACCCACGATGAAAATCCTTTGAGGATTACACTCGGTGGCACGTCAGCCGACGAAAAAATTTCTGCTCATTAAAATAATCCAGATACATTTATATATCGTTAGGCACAAACACCTGGGGATTAATTATTCGATTTCGAGATGTAAAATCCGAGTCCATCCCTCCGTTTCTCCGTTAAAAAAAATTTATCATGTAAAAATTGGAGAATTTATAATTATTTATGCATATTTTTGTTATCATTTATTTCGGGGGAAGTATTAAAGTGAAATGTACAAGGATAAATATTCTGAACGAATTTTCAAAAATTCAACTCATCGGAGCAAAACCAAAAATAATTTTTACGTTTGAAAAATTTCCTTTCAAATGTTCTCATTATTGAGTCCTTTATTTCAACGATAAAAAAGACAATCGAGTTAGTTGTCACTGTCACGCCATGACAAGCAGAACAAATCGTGAGTTAATAAAATTTCATAAAAAATGTGGATTATGTGAATCGTTAAAAAATTGTTCAGTCTTTAACAGATTATTTGCATTTCGTATGATTTTTCAGCGCTTGATGATAAAACCGTCGCGATCCGGGAAGACTTGCAGGCATTCACTTCCCTGTGGTCTTCTCTGCGATCTAAATACGAAGGGACAAACATCACAAAAACAATAGCAAGACTCCTTCACATGTATCAACCAGAAGATGGGATTGACGCTTACGAGAGACTCCTGAAGACAGTTGTGCTCCTCCTGGAGGATTTTGATCCCAGTGGCCTGAGACTTCTCGTTTCTATGGTACCTCCACCCACGAATTCACCCCAAGAAACCATCAAGGAGATCTTCTCCAGGGCCACGGGATACACTAGGCTAGAAGCACCGATATTCCAGAAGTAAAAAATTGCTTTCCACTTTTTTTTTTCACTATTATTTGGCATGTGACGCTCAGATGTTTTTTACACTAATTATCATTATTTCCGCTCTTCTTTTTATTATACCAGCCAGTCTTTAATCCCAGCTGTGGTAAATCCCACTGATGACGCGAAAAAAGATGAAGACTCGAGTACATCATCCTCGAGGAATATTCCCTCGGAAATTGCGAGTGCGAATATTAATAAGAAGAGTAATTACCAGGCGCCTCAGGTAATTTTTTTTTTATAATTGAGAATCAATTGAAATTAAAAAAATGATAAACCGAATAGTCATAAAAAATTGAACAATTGAAAATATTTTCAATTGATTTTCAATTGAAAATATTTTTTAATTAATTTATTGGCTATTCTTTTCAATAGACAACGCCTCAAAGATTTTATCCTGCCACCGCATTCACTCCGATAGAAACTGATATGATTGTGAATCAGAACTGCGAAAGAATGAGTTATTATACGTCTAACAATGGTCAGGTGATGCTGGACCCTGGAAACGTACCTCCTGGGTACAAAATCAATTGGATACCCAGCCCTTTTATGGTCCAGAACGGACCTCCAGGTCTATCGAATTCTTACGGTGATTTTATCGTTAAAACCGAGGATAATAAATTCCTGAGAGTTCATATGGGTAACGTGGGAGTTCTGATGTCTCCGCAGAATATTCAGAGTTATCTCCCATACCAAGTAAATAAATATATAAAACCCGGAGAAATAATAATCAATCGAATTGAGAAATAATTAATTCAAATTTTATGCATAATTTTTTCTTCAGGCAATTCCAAGTACTCGTTTGAATTACCCCTGTGAGAAAACCGAAACGATAAGTACAATTACACCCCCTCGATACCCGATAGCCTTTGAAAAAAATAAATCTAACAGAGAAAAAACTGATTCCACCGAAAATAACGAGAATCCCGAAATTTCATTGCTCGATAATTTAACTGTCAGCAAAACTCTTGAAATTTGCATCGAGCGATTTTTAGATCGAGTTAAAAATAATGCGGATATTAACTCGAAGATCAAGCCGGCGGTGAAAAAAATTCAAGTCTCTTCCAACGAGAGGAGTGAATTATTTCAATCCCGAGACATTAATTATGCAAATGACTGGGAGAAGAATTATTACATGAAGAACTCTGACATGACAGCCTACAAGAGACAGTATTACGATTCTCTTCTGAATTATCAACGAGCAAAAGGTAATTTTTTTTTCAGATAATCTTTCGTAAGGGGATGATTCGTCCTGCAATTGAGGATTCGATGGATTTTCGAATTTATGTTATTTCAATAAATTGTGGAATATTTATATAGCCGTGACGAATTCAATGACCCCAATGCCATCGACAAGTACATATGATTCTTCATATTACGAGTACTTGCAACAACACCAGTGGATGTATCAGCAGCGTTTAATAATGGGACATCAATATGCACAGAGATTAATTCAGCCTGAATTTTCACCTCTTCGTAATCCCTACGGACGATTTAACGAGTGGATGCCCAATTGCACTACTTCCCGACAATCGCAAGAGGTACATAAAAAATCATTCAGTTCTCAATGGAAATATTTTTACTATTGGCAATTTACTACTGAGAGATTCACTCATAAAATAGTAATTTAATTTTTTTAGGCATTTGGATATTACAGCACCAATTGCCCCCCGGATTACGAGGCAATGGCGAAACATAAGTCGAATTTTTCGGGAGAATCTGAAGTGAAAAAGGAATAATAATCATTTTTAAACAATCGGGGTTACATTTTCTTTTCATCTGTATTGATCTTTCCATTTGACAAAAGAGGTACCTGCATTTATCCAGTTTCAGTGTACATAAATATATTAAAATAATTAATGTTGATAATTCAATAATTCGAATGGATTCACTGATCAATCTTCCCTCGTATTTTTTTTTTCGTATTGAACCGGTACAGTTTATTCATTGAGACAGCGTCGATTAATTGGATGGTGTTTATCTCGACAATTACTCACAATTTAGTCAATCCTCATTCGTTATATCAATGTACAGTGATTTATTACAGATTATTATCGGATTGTCGCAATGTCTTAGTACCTTCTTGGCTTTTTTTTTTTCATAAAATTGGCGAGTAAAACGTGCGCGTGTATTTTTTTCTTTTTTTCTCCTACCTATGAAATAAATCGATGAAATAAATGTAATCGACGGTGATTATTAATTTTTGCGTGATTTTACGCGAAGACAAAGGGTCTATTCAGTCGTGAAGTTCTTGAACAGAAATCGTCAATTTAAATTGAAATCGCGTGAAATTTTCGAGAGAAAACGATCGAGATTTTAAAAATATAATCGGCGCTCTCTGATCGATCACTTCATGACGGAATTCTTATCAATTTTTTCTCATCTTTATCACACAAATAATTTTATTTGTTGTGCGTTGAGAGATGTATTGCATTCATAAGGTAATTGTGATGATTTTTTTATCTCGATTTTTTTCTCAGTTGACAGATTAAAGAAATCGGCCGAATGATTTTGAATGAATGAATGAATAAAATTTGGAGAATAATTCAATTTTTCCATTTTTAACGATTTTTGTAAATCTTCAGTCCGGCAACTCAGAAAAAGATATTTCAGCCAGAAGTAGCATGAATTATTATCCTATATCATCAATCAGCAATATCCGAGGACTTCAGTTACAAAATATATTATATTTGTTAATTTAGAAGTCATCCCTATTTATTTCTTTTCATTCAAACTGCACTAGTTCCTCAAACTCTTCAATTTTACAATTTCCATCGTACCGCCATTGTTTTTCTTTCGATTTCTATACAAGTTCTGCTCGTTGATGAAATAAGTTGTCGAAGTTCAATTATCACTCACTGAATTACGTGAAAAGTGAATAACCTAATAGTGAACGAAAAATATATTCGTGAAAACTTCGTTAATTATCTTTATAAGATTTCCATAGCGCTGAGATTACTTCACTTTGATTAAAAATCAATTTATCGGTATGATTTATTCATTTGGCAGTGAATTATTATTTTAAATATTTTTTCTTAAAGCTCGCGACCAAACAATGTGAAGATTGAGTTTTCGAATTGAATGAATCATTATCGAAATTGAGAAGTGAATTGTTGGAACGAGATAATTTAATCATAAATAATTCCCTCGTTTCTCCATTTCACTCCCGAGATGATTTTTTTATAAATCAATGCAGCTCCACGACCAATAATTAATTTACGAACAAACCCTCTTGTTTAACAAGACTAAGTGAACACTCACGATTTTTATTTCAATTTTCTCAATTCTTACTTCTAGAATTCAATTGGTGTAATTAAACTCACTCATTTTATTGAAAAATCCTAAAACTCCTAATTATTCGTATAAAAAGGACGAAGGAAATTGCTTGAACCTGAATCAAACAAAACGACCAATTGAAATAACCGACGGAAAAAATTACATTTGACATTCGACGGAGTTTAGCCTTGGAATGTTCACGCGATATGTTACTGACTAGGAAAATAAATCAGTAGTGAAGTGCGAGAATGAGATAATTCTCTTTTCCAACATAATAATTGTCATATTTTCTGTTCTCTTTTTAAAAAACGCAAATACTTGAAGTAACCATGAATTTCTATCGGAAAATTGTAAATCATAAAATCATAAAATTATAAAAATCATAAAATCATAAAGAAAAAAATGGTTTAACGATACCCCGGGAAAACAGCAAAAATGGTAGAATCCCCTTCGGAATATCTCTCAGCTTCAGCCCATTCTGCACTTCACCACCAAAATTAATACTGATTAATCACCTACTCACTGACGAAACCCATATCCACCTGAATAATACTATGTCCACCATCAAACTCACGGTAAACACATCCACACGCACACACACACGATAATAAAACCACTCATAATAACGCACAACTGAAGGAGAAAAACAAAACCTACAAACGAATAAAACCTGATAAATATGTCGACGGCAGCACAATTTACAAGGCATTGATATACTTTGTACAAGACGTCCTTGGGTTATTTTTTTCATCATTTTAACCGTTCATAATAAATTTAATTCGCGTTAAGGAAGTGATGAAGTGGCTCACGGGAATGGATAAGGATCAACTGTTTTGCTAGAGCATGGTTGAACGTCATCAGGTGGTTGTCGCCATTGGCTCGACCACATGGCAACTTCGATGGCTTTGGCAGCATCAACTCTTTCAGCTTCAGTTGCCCCCTGCATCTCCCACTCCTTGACAGTTGCTGCCAAACAGCTCTGAAAATCACTATTGGTACTTGTTCTCGATGTCTTGACACCTGGCCCTTTACCCGCATTTGGTCTTCTTGGCTGTGGCCTCTCGATCTGCTTCAGGGGCAACTTCTGGGGCACTCGTCTACCCGTACCTGTCTCAACTTTTTTACCAGCAACTCCATTACCACTCGAGCCACTTCCATCGCGTCTTCTTCTTCGTCTCTTGCGCTCGAGATCACTTTCATCTCTCTGCATCGTCTGATTCTCTTCGTCGTCCTGAGGGAGAAATGCATCCCTCGCTGATGCCCAGTGATCCTTTCGCGATTTATATTTTTCGCAGTTACCGTTCCCTTTACTCGTTGTGTTCGATTCAGTGTCAACACTTTTTTTTGCCTTCTGGCTTTTCACTACCCAACCAGACGATGGTTTCGGGCTTTTGTCTTTCAGGGTCATCTGAAAAATAAACCCAAAATCCCATCCAATTCTCAACAAATTATTCCAATAGAATAAATTTACAAATCCCAGATGCAATTTAATCCCCAATAAATACTGCAGTATCCATTGATACCAAAATAGACATTCTATTATTATAAAGAAGAGAAAAATCGTTAACACCGTAATTAAACAGCTGATTAAAACTCCAGTGACACGCACATTACAGTCTAATGAACTGCCTCTGGACTAAAATATTGCATTGTTCGATAATTTATTCTCTTGAGATGCAGAATTTCGATGCTGAATTAAATTGTTTACCCCGGATGACGTTGAATCCACTGGCTTGTACAGCTGACTCTGGGAATGATCGTGGGACTGTGATTTACAATTGACCCCAGTTCTCCCATGAATCCAGGAGAGTAAAAATGCTAATATCGCACAGAATATGGCAATACCAGCGGCAACAGTAAGTTGTGAACGAGTACGACGTGGCACCCATCCAGTGCCATGATACTCCCATATAGAAAGCCCCAACAATCCACTGCCAGCTGTATATGACACTCCGATGCCAGTGAATACCCAAAAATTCTGCAATAATCAATAGTCATCATTATTAAATATCGGAGGAATAGATTCAATCATCAAAGCTTTTCCTAAACTCTTCCCAAAGTCTTAATTAATTTCTCCAGTCATCTGGCAATTGAACGATCGATGAATGAATGAATGAGATTAATAAATAATTATTACCACTTTATCCCAATTGAGAGGGAACATGTAGACAACGTGTGTTATATCAAGGAAGAGAAGTAGAATTGTGACTAGGAGACAAAATACAGTGACAAATATCATGAATCTTAAGCGTCCAACGTGTGGCAGCATAAAGAGATTGACACTTGCTGTGCCAGAGCTGCATAATGTTGCCAAACATGCTGCTGATGTTATCTGAAATTAAAGAATAATCCCACAATTACTCTGTAAAGTTACGAGAATAAAATTATTTTTTTGGGATTAATGCATGTGTTGTGTGAATAATATGTTAGGACTCACGAGTAGGAGAACTCTGACGACACCCGTGGTGGTTTTGAGATGACCCTGTATGTCACAGACAAGTACCAAGTGGCTGGCACGTGGCCATGGCAGTGCATTACCGGAAGAGCCATGCCGATTATTACCGTGGCCATAAGGGCCATGGTAATTCTCATGCGAGTCCCACGAGTGGACGGTTGAATGTACCCCTGGTGAATCCAGCTCCGACGAGTGGGAGCTTACAGCTCCCCCAGTTCGACTCCCTGCTATTTAAAAATTAAATACAATTATTAACGATAATTGTATTTAATTGATAAGATAATTGAATGGAATTATTGAATACCAATTTCGAAGTCCTGTATGTCCTCAGGCCTAGAATATGCGGTTGGCGGTGGCTCGAGATCTCTTATTTCTTCCAATAACAATACTTCAATTTCGTCTGCAGCGTACAAATCCGAGACGGAGCGAAGATGATTCCGAGATTCGCTCATCACTCGGGGGTTAAATGTGTGTAATTAATAGTCCCCCTCCCCCCCCACCCCCCCACACACACTTGTTGTTACAGATCCACCCGATGATTTTGCGATGGAAAAACCGTGGGATCTGTCACAAATTCATCATTTTCCACTTGACATTGAAGCCCATTTCAAAAACCAGAGAATCCAATAGTTCGATTATTCATTTTACCCTCGAGACATCTGCAACACATTAAAATATACCCCCCACTGCAATTATCACGGTAATGATTACATAAACAAACAAAGTGATGAAAAATATTTGAGACAGAGAGATGAATTAGGTGATTGTTTCTGGAGTGTGAGAATTTTTTCTGGGCTAGATGATTAATTACTGAGTGATTATTCTCGTTCTTTGGATTGCATGCAATACAACAATTGTTCATAATCATGAATTGTCACTCAATTTATTCACACTTTGACATACTTGCCCCAGTCATATTAAATACGTCAACTGTATTGAGAGTTGTGGGTATGGAATGATTATTGAATATTGGTTAATTACCCAGATGTGTTGTGAACATTGATGAATGATTTATCACATGTTTTGTGAGTTAAATGTGTCGTCCTCGTGAGTCTGAAAACCTCTGGAGTGTCGCCATTACCGCTCTTCAATCAACTCATAAACCCCCTTTTTACATTGTCCCGTGATAATGGAAAAGTTTGGAGAGATGTGCGTCGGTGGAGAGATGTTTTGAGGGGTTGAGGGTGATATCCAGACCAATTGAGTAATCCGTAGACTAGTGGGGTGGAATTTCATAGGTGGATCGATGAAGTTTCAGGAGAAAGCTCGAGGGTTGAGTCCAGTGCATTAGCCAATGGGGAATTAACATCAGGGGATGATAGTTCGTGGAGTTTCTCCCTTTGGGGCGCTTCTGAGCTTTCCGGGGTAATGAAGGGTAGTTTTCGCTTCTGGTGGCATCTCAGTCATTGTTGGGGTGCAGCACAGAATTACCGGTTGTTGATAGATCAGTCCATTGCTGGTCTACCAATTCTTCAAAAAGCTAGAACATTTTGGGAAAGTAGGGATAAAGTAAATGGAAAAAGAGTATCACCACTTGTAAATAATTATTGGCTTTAAAAAAAACCATTATGTACGTAGACTGCGAATTTAGCTTCTCTTCTCGAGGACGATGAGCCAATGGAATGTCTCTGGGCATAATTCTCTTGTCGTGCAATTAGCATAGAGATTAGTATCCACAAAACCTCCGGAGACTTGCAATCCATATCTTCCTAATGATTGTCATTTCATTATTAACGGAGTCTTCGCTTGCCCTAGTCTCTTCTCCTTTCTCATATCCAAGCAGAAAAATTCCAAGTAGACGTTCATTCGAGAGCGGTTGAAGTTGAAGTGACGTCGAGAATGAACGCGTCCCCACTATATAGACATCTGCGTGCGCAGCACCGAGCCAATCCCATCTTCGGCCTTTCTGATTCGTTCGGCGCTGGAGACGCCTGAGGGCTTAAAACAACGGCAAATCCTGGCTCGAGCGCATTTCGTTCCGGAACTTCGTCCAGTGCAGAGCTCCAGTCCACAGCGGCGAGACCGGGATCCAGTGGCCAAGGAGAAGAAGGTGGTAATCCGGAGGACAAGCCAAGAAGCAGACGATCCAGAGGATAAGCTGAGAAAGCAGACGACCCAGAGGATACGCTGAGAAAGCAGACGACCCAGAGGATAAGCTGAGAAAGCAGACGACCCAGAGGATAAGCTGAGAAAGCAGACGACCCAGAGGATAAGCAGGAGTCTACATCCGAGGAGTGGATTCAGCGACGTCGCATCTCCGATTTTACAATCTGCTCTTTTCAGAGCTCTGGAAATCTTATTCCGATCGATTCTTTCTCGAGTCCTGGATTTCTTAATTCGGTTGATTCTTTTTTAGAGTCCTGGATTTTTTAATTCGGTTGATTCTTTTCAGAGTCTCGGATTTTTCGCTAAACAATCGGCTTTTTTTAAAGCCCTGGAACTCAATCCGGTCGATTCTTTCTCGAGTCCTGGATTTCTTAATTCGGTCGATTCTTTTTTAGAGTCCTGGATTTTTTAATTCGGTTGATTCTTTTCAGAGTCTCGGATTTTTCGCTAAACAATCGGCTTTTTTTAAAGCCCTGGAAATCTCAATCCGGTCGATTCTTTATTAGAGTCCCGGTTTTCGTATAATCCAATCGATTCTCTTTAGAGTCTTGGATTTTTACTTACCCAATCGGCTCTTGTCAGAGCCCTGGAATCTCGATTCGCTATTTATTTTCAGAGCTCCGGATCAACGCAGTGGATTACACAATCAGATGGTGAGAGTCCTGGATCTATGAAGCTGATTTGCAGAACCCTGGATTTATGGAGATGACCTGGAGACCCTGGATCTATGAAGCCGATTTGCAGAACCTTAGATTTACGCAGCAGTTCTTTTTAGAACCTTAAAAACAATCTGTTCTTCTCAGAACTATGGAATTCTCAAAAACGCAAATCGGCCCTTTTCAGGGCCCCCAATTTTTTATTACGTTGGATATCTCTCCACTATTTATTTTACTTCCGATATAATTAATTGCTCCTGAATGTAGCAATTTATACGAATGAATTTTGCATAATACTATTCGATCTGCCTTCAGAACTTTCACACAATAGATCATTATTTTAATAATAAACTTTATTTAATTTAATTTGTATTTTGACAATTTTGAGAAATTTTAAAGGAGTTTTCTCTAACAAGGTCATAAGCATTATAAGTCCGTCGTTAAATAAAATTTTCCAACGCTCAATAAATCAAACGCTCAATAAATCAAACGCTCAACAATTACTTCAAGAAGAATATTCTCTCCATACTAACGCTACAATGACTGGTCGTAGAAAAGGGAGAAAAGGAGGAACTAAACATCATCACAAAGCTCTTCGAGACAACATCCAAGGAATTACAAAAACAAAACTCGCCATTCGCTGTCTGCCGCGTCGAGGTGTTAAACGTATCTCTAGGTTGATTTACGAAGCAATTCGGGGCGTATTCTAAGTATTTCTTGAAAACGTTATTCGTGATGTTGTTATCCACACTGAACACGCCAAGCGAAAGATAATAACAGCTATGGTATTGTTTACGTTCTGAAACGTCAAGACCGCGCCCCTTATAGATTCGGAGGTTATGCCTAATACTACGAAATAAACAAAACAAATCCGCCCCTTTTATTTCTTGAAATTTTCATTGTTTCGTCCCCAAATTTCACAGCACTAAATTCATTAAAACTTTATAATTAAAATACACTAATCCAAAACAACTAAATTCCTCAATTCTATCATTTTATTGATCGCCAAGAGTGAAATAGATCATTTAAGAAGATATTTTATTTGAAGATATTTTGAATGATAAATTTTTCTTTTAGAAAACAAAACTAATTGAGTTGTGAACGTCTTAAAAATGTTGTGGCCCTGAAAAGGGCCGATTATTAATTGTTCCTATTTATTTGGAGCTTGTGTATTTCGTTACAGCCTTGGTTCCTTCGGAAACTGCGTGTTTAGCCAACTCTCCGGGGAGAAGAAGACGAACAGCTGTCTGGATTTCCCGAGATGTGATGGTGGAGCGCTTGTTGTAGTGAGCCAATCTTGATGCTTCAGCAGCAATACGTTCGAAGATGTCGTTAACGAACGAATTCATAATACTCATGGCTTTGCTGGACACTCCAGTGTCGGGGTGGACTTGTTTCAATACTTTATAGATATAGATAGCGTAACTCTCCTTCCTCTTACGCTTCTTCTTCTTGTCGGACTTAGTAATATTTTTTTGGGCTTTACCAGCCTTCTTCACAGCTTTGCCGCTGGCCTTGGGTGGCATGTTGTTGGATGATAGTCTTCACTGACTGGAGCACAGAAGTGAAATGTGAAGCTGCCGCACATCGCCTCTCTATTATAACAGAGTTGGAGACAGTAGCGCCGAACCAATCAGCTGCGTTTACGGTTGAATTACCGGGACAGTGCGCGCGCATTGGCTCGGCGATGCCTACGCCTAAGCCTATATAATATGGACAAACATTTTTTTTAGCCATTATACTCGAGACTCTTGTCGCTACAACATCTTTCCTCAGCTTTCAATTATCATTCACTAATAATGTCTGGACGCGGCAAAGGTGGCAAAGTGAAGGGGAAGTCTAAGACTCGTTCTACGAGGGCTGGTCTTCAGTTCCCAGTGGGTCGTATTCATCGCCTGCTACGTAAAGGAAATTATGCAGAACGCGTTGGCGCTGGTGCTCCAGTTTACTTGGCAGCAGTTATGGAATACTTGGCTGCTGAGGTTCTTGAATTAGCAGGCAACGCAGCTCGTGACAACAAAAAGACGAGAATTATCCCCAGGCATCTTCAACTGGCCATCCGTAATGACGAGGAGTTGAATAAGCTGCTGTCAGGAGTTACAATTGCCCAGGGTGGAGTCCTTCCCAACATCCAAGCCGTCCTCCTTCCCAAGAAGACCGAGAAAACAAGTTCTTAAGTCTTTTTTTCCTATATTTTTCCTATATTTAAATCAATCGGCCCTTTTCAGGGCCATCAAATACTTTAACGAAGAATCTTTTATAACGCATCCAATAATTTTTTTTCTTAAACGCGAATTTCAAAACATTCTAAATGAAGTGATTAATTTTTTATTTGCATATGATTAAATCACAATTAGAGAGAAAAATCATAGATTAATCACATTTTTATTTCTATTACTAATTCTGTTAAGGGTCTCTTGGGTTTCTTCTACAATTCATCAAATGGTTGGCAAAGTCCTGGACCATGCCACTGCCCTGGCATTTTATACAATCCACAAGAAATGCAGAATGCATCAAAGGGGATCCCGTCAACGGACATATCTGGTTCATTCGGTGAGTGTACTGAAGCAGGATTAGGGCCATTAATTTTCTGGAGCAATTGTTGATTATACTCTCGAATTGTTGCCAACGAAGTTGTCAATGTGTCTCGCTCCTTTAGCAAATCTTGCCGTGATATCCTCTCCTCCTCGAAGTCAAGTTTGTAGCTCTCCATTTGTGCTCGCAAGTGCTCAATTTGATCTTGATCATCCTTTGCTACTTCCAATTGAGCTCGTAATCTGTTTTGTTCGATATCTTTTTCCTCAATCGCCTCTTTGAGCCTCATTACCTTCGACACCAGGTCGTTGTGTCGCTTCTCCAGGGCTTTACAATTTTCTTGAAGAGTCTGCATCTGGGCCTCATACAACATACTCTGAGTATTGAGAGAAGCCTTCTCTCTACTGAGAGACTCAATTTCCAGCTCGAAGATCGTCTTCTCAGCCAAAAAACTCTTCTTCTCGAGTTCAAACCTCTCCTTCGCTTCCTCCATCATCTTTTTCTCCTTCAGCAGATTCAGATTGCCTGGTTCCTGGGTGACATTGCGTTCCACTGGCTTCGAATTTTCCTCTCGAAGAATATCTAATTCGTGAAGGGCTGCATTGTAATCTAAGAATATGCTCTCAAACTGTTTTTGAGCTTTTATCAGGTTCTGTCTCTCGCTGATGTTCTTCAGCTGCTCCTCAATGAGTTCTCGACGTACATTATCCAAGGTCTGTTTGTGCTTCAATCTTGTGTCGAAGGAGAGTTCAGAGGGTTCGAAATTCTCATAATAGTCCAGGGTCTCGATGCAACTCTTTAGGCACTCCTGAATCTCAGTGAAACGACTCATCTGCTCAGTGTAGCATTTAGCCAAAGCCCCGAGCTTCTTGTTGTAATGAGTAAAATTATCCAGGAACTGTTTGCTATGTTTCCCGTCTGAATTATCCGAGTCCACGTTGAGCTGCAGAGGAGCAAAGGAGTTCTCACTCAGAATTTTTATCTGCTTCTTCAAGGCGTTGATTATTTCCTGCTGATAATCCATGCTAGGTTGAGGGGATTTTTCGATGGTTGTCTTGGACAGGGATGACTCATTCCTTCGGCTCTGAGCGTTTTGAGCTAAAACTGATATTCTTGATAATGCAGAGGGCTCGGCTGTAATACTGTCTGCTACTTCCTCTAGACTCAGAGAAGACTCTGGGAACAAAGAGGGACATTCGATCTTCCTTTGATGGCTTTGGCTGATAAATTCATCGATCTAGGAAATTTCATAGAAAATTTATTTAAAATTTTTGGAAATGGCAATCAATTCTCTGAAGGAGTTCAACGTGACTCACCATTTCTCCTGAAAATTTTGAGCTCATCATTGAGGCGTCCATCGTTAATCTTGTCTTCAATTGTTCATTTTCGTTCTTCAAAAGTGTAATCATGTCCCGTGTCTCTGCGAATTTTTGCTTGTGATTCTCATGGACCTTCTTTAACTCCTCCTGATATGACACTAAAGTGTTGAAATGGTGCTTCATGGTGTTGTTGTTCTGAGAGAGAGTGTCCTTCAATTTCTGATTCTCCTGGAGTAATTCCACGACCGCCTTCTCAATTTCCTCGTGACTCAGAGTGGACACAATCGATGTGTCCTATCCCAAAATATCAAATTAGAACTTTTCATTAATTAACAACCACCAAATTTAACTTACGATAGCTAAACTCTGCTTTTTGATTTGCTCGTAAACCGCCAGGGATGCAGAATTAACGAAATCCATGGAGCTCTTCCCCAGGACTACGAAGGAAGTTTCTTCATCGTCCTCTTCATGATTAAAATGCTGACTCCTCAGGGAACAAGCACCGGAGAGCACAGGCTCATTGAGCCTGAACTTGGGTTTTCCATTATCCAGATCAATTCCGAGACTCTCGAAAGCACTTTTCGTCATAGACTGGGGCTCCTCTTCCTGGACATCTCCAGGGAGTACCGATGTCCCTCTGAAATCTGGAATCGACATCACGACAGCCCTAAGAGCAACAAAATTGCAAAGCCAGAAATGATAAAGAGAACGTCGCAGTACTCATCTCCACCGGAGTAGATTACCTCCCCAGCAATTCAACCCACTAACGGTCAATCGAGTGAGTAATTAAATAATATCCTTACGATTGATAAGAAAATTGGCACGATCAGAGAACCAGGCTCCGCTTACATGACACTAACTTTTGACTCAATGATATTTTGTGAAAATATTTTCAATATTTTTTTTCCTTTTTTTATGATTCAATGTGAACTGAGTATTGGCTACTGCGTCAGTCATTCCTCAGTGAATTTTCTCTCATTGGTTGAAATTACGAAAGGCATCCGCAACGATCGGACGGAAAAAAAATCGGGGGAAAAAAATGGCGAAATCGAATGATCCCATTGGCGAAGCACTTCATAACGAGTGAACGATACAAATTCGCGGAAAAAAATTATAAAAAATGCCTTTCATATGAAAAAAGATTTTGTGAATTTCAATCAGCTGATCTCGAGTTATCAACGATTGAATGCGATGAATTATGTGTTGGTGACTTGGGAGGGGATTTGAGAGATCGACCAATGGAATCGAGAGTTACGGGCGTCCACCAATGGGAGGGCGGGCATTTCCGATGGATCCAATGGTCGTTGGGGTACACAAAACAATTTAAATACGGCTAGTGTAACAGTTGTATGTTGTAACCGAAACAGGACGCGCGTGGCTTTGTAAGAAATGATTTGACCTGAAAATTACGCGAGTTTTTTTTTCTGGGTAATACATTAATGTTTTTTTGGTGGTGCGATTATTGTGAGGAAAAGTGAGGAAGATTTTTTTTGGCAAGTATGCAACCGTGGACTGGAGCCATCGTCGAATGGGTGAGTAACGTATTTTTTTTTGTTCATTTGACAGGGAAGCGTCTCCCGGTTTTTGCAATTCGGAAAAAAAAAATATGTTTTCCATTCTCTCTTGACAGATTAAAGATCCGAAGATAAGTATGGAATGAGCGTTGTAACATTATTTTCAGGTGAATTGCCTGGGAGTTCACCCTTCACCGATAAAAGACGTGCGAGACCTGGACAGCCCCATCTTCAAAGCAATAATCACCAAATTAAAGGATGTGGCCTCTGAAACGTCAGAGGAGGTGTCAGATTTTCTCTCAAAAAATTTTCCAGAATTCCTCCTTAATGGCCAAACTGATAACATTCCCAATAGCATTTATATTGCGTCGTTGCTGCTCCTGACAACATCCCAGAAAATATCCTTCCACCGTCCCATGTGCCACCTGCGTAATGACACCCAGATCCTCATAAAAAGATTCCTGGAGGTCCTCCTACCTTATGGAAAAAGCATAACTCGTGAGATCCTCTTCAGCATTATTTCAGAATTGAGTGATGCGACTCCACGAACGCCTCCGGTGACTCCAAAAGACAGACCTCTCAGGAATTTTTTCACATCTCCAGCTGCCCAGTCAGTCCATCGCCACCGAATTCTCAATGAGAAAACTCGAGAACTTCGGCTGCTCAAGGCAGAGCTGGAAACCGAGAGGTACGAGAAGATTGATCTCCAAGAGGATATAAAAAATCGAGAGGAGAAGATCCAGTCGCTCCAGAAAAAATTGAATGAGAAAACACAGGAGCTGAAGGCTTTGAAGGCTGACAAAATCGGACCTCATACCCCCCAGTCTACCAGGAAGAACAAGAAAGTGGTAGATGTGGAGGTGATGTTGAAGAAGGAGATCCAGCACTTGGAGAATTTTAATTCAACCCTGCAGAGTCAATTGGATGAATTGGAGAATGAGAAGGAGGAAATGCTAAGGAAATTGACTTCGAAGGAGAGATTGACTCAGGGGCTCAAGGAGAAGGTGGAGATGTTCGAGAGAAATCAGGAAGCTCTGGGGATTCAGCTGGACCAGAAATCCACTGAACTCTTGGATCTACGCCTGCAGAATGAGGAATTGAGGTCTCACATCAAGGACATGCAGAGGTGTTCTCTTGATGTTGACCACAGTTTTGAGGTTGATATTGTTTCATTGTCTCGTTCACCAACCCCCGGATTGAACACGAGTGAAGCCTTGAGTTCTATTGTTGATATTCAACTGCAGGAAGCCAGGGAGGAGTCGGATAAACTCAGATGTCGATTGGCTAGTCTGCAGCAGAGGCTGGATGAGGCTCTCAGAGACTGCGAGGGGTTCAGGCAAGTCAATGGAGAGCTCATCCTCAAAGCTGATCATTTGGTTGTCGTTGAGGCGAGGCTGGGGAAAACAGCAGATGAGCTGGAGAGAGTGGTGGAGAAAACAAAAACGCTGGAAAAGGAGAAAAGCGAATTTGAGAAGGAAGTGGAGAGGCTCCAGGATGAACTGGCATCTAAAGAGGTTCTCCTGAAGAGCACCACCGAGAACTGCAGATTATTGAATATTAAGGTCGAAGAACAGCTGGGAATAATCTCCAAAATAAATGACAACCTTCTGACGTTAAATTCATCATTGAGGAATCAGGAGGAGGAGATAAGGCAAATAAATTGTGACAAAGAAGGACTCCAAAATGATTTGGAGGATTCTAACCGAAGGATTGATGAGCTGGAGAGCTCTCTAGCTTCGGAAATTTCGAGATCCTCAGAGATATCCAGATCATCTGGAGAGAACATTAGAATCCTGGAGGAAAAAGTCTCGGAATTGGAGTCTGAGCGACAAATATTAAGGATAAGTGTGGAAGAAAAGACAATTGCACTCGAAGAGGCCCTCAAGACCTTAAACGACAAGCTGATGGTAATAAATTCAATGACAGACCTTGTGGAGGGACTCCAGAGCCAACAGAAGAAGCAGGAGATGACTCTGAGAGAACTAGAGATGAAACTCTGTGAGTTGAGCGAATTGAAAGAGGAATTGCAGAGTCAAGTGGACGCGGAACGCACGAATTCCGTCAGGATATCTACAGAGAAAGAAAATTTGCACCAGAGCTTTCTCCATACTGACAACGAGAGGAAAAAATTGCTGGAGCAGGTGGCGGGCATGCAGTCGGTGCTAGAAGAGATGACGGAAAAGGTGGAGGAACTTGATAAGCAGAGGAGGACGAATGAGGAAAAGTATTTGAGAGCCTCGGAAAAGGTCCAACTGCTGCAGTCGGAAAGTGAGAAACTCAATGCCGAGCTCTCCTCTGCTATTTCTGAAATGTCGAGGCTCAAAGAACTCCAGGAAAATCTCGAGAACCAACTGACGCAAGAGCAGGAGAGCTCCATGAAGCTCATCACTGAGAAAGCCACTTTGGAGCACGGGTTATCGCAAATGTCCCGCGAAAATTCTGATCTGAATCAAAAGGTGGCTGATCTCAATGGTCAGTTGAATAAAACACTGCAGGAAATGCAGGACCTGGAGAATCAGCATGGAGATCTCAGTGAAAATCATCGGCAGACTGTGGCGAAGGTTCAGACGCTGGAAGCAGAGGTGTCCAGGGGTAATGAACAGTTAGCGAGGCTCAGCCTCGAAATTTCTGAACTGAACACACAGATTAGTGACCTGGAGGGACTGCTGCAGGAGGAGAAAAGCTGCGTGGGAGGTCTTCTCCAAGAAAAATCGACTCTAGAGAACGAATTGTCTTCCTCTGAAAATGACAGGAGAGATTTGGTCGAACGGAATTCGTTCCTGCAGGAGAATTTGAAGAATTCTGAGAGGACGACTGAGGAAATTCGAAGACAGTCTGAGGAATTGAAGTGTCTGATTGAACAGTTGAATTTGGAAATTTCAGAGCAGAAAAAGATTCAGCAGAGACTGGAGGATGAACTCGAGGGGACACGTGACCAGATGAAAACTATAGGGGATGAGAAAATGGGGATCACTTCGAAATTGTCGAAGGCTCTTGAGGACAAAGAGAATTTGACCGAAATTTTGGGATTGGTGGAAGAAAAATTAACTAGAGCTCAAGACAAAATCGATGGAATTGAAAAAGATTATGAGGAGAGTGAGAGGAGAAATTCTGAGGCAGTCGAAAGGATCATGTCGATGACTTCGGAGATAGGCAAATTGAACACGAAATTGAATGATGCGGTTGCAGAAGGACAGGCTCTGCAGGGGAAAATGAACCGTCTGTCTCAAGAGACTACCTTAGAAATTTCTGAATTAAAAACGGTGCATGAAAATTTGAGGAGTCAATTGGAAAAAGCATGTGAATCCAATCGAGTTTTTGCCGACGAAAAATCATATTTGACTTTCGAATTATCAAGCTTGACAGAAACTAATAAAAATCTGGTTGAGAACTTGACGTTGAATGAAGAAAAATTGCGAGAATCTGATCGAAAGATCGAGGAACTCGAGGCGCATTCGAAGGAATTGCAACAGAAACAGGAAAAAACGGAAGGAAAAATTCAAAAAATAGTTTCAGAATTTGAAAATTTGACATTGGAATTAAAAACAACAACTTCAGAACGAGAGGCTGTGCAAAATGAATTGAGTAAGCAGATTTCAGAGCTTGAGGATCAATTAAAAGCAGAGAGAGAATCCAATGAAGGTCTTACAAATGAAAATTCATCTTTGATGACCCGATTATCGAAATTGAAGAGGAAAAATGAAGATTTGATCGAGAAATTGAGGGGAAGTGAAGGAAAATTGGGAGAACTGGAACAAAATATACAGGAAATTCGAGTCAATCATGAGGAACTCCAGCAAAAATGCACACAGTCTTCCGAAACAATTATTTTCCTCAACTCCGAGATTGAAAAATTAAATTTCCAACTGCAGGAAATGACTCTCTCTCGGGATTGTGCACAGAAAAATTTGACAGACGTGACAAAACGACTTGAAATATCACGAACAGAATCAGAGAAATATGACAAGATACTGGAGGAGTCCACAGCCACCATAAAACGTCTCGAAGAGCTTCTCCAGGATAAAGAGATTTATTCGAAGGAGATGATCAGTTCTATGGAGAAACGGCTCCTTGTGGCTCAGAACACACATGAATCTCTGACACTAGACCAGAAATTGAAAGAGGAAACGATTGGAATTCTCCAATCAAAACTTGAGGCCATAACGAAAGAGAAGATCGAGTCAGAGTTGAAATTAAAAGAGATCATCGTAAACCTCCAAGAAATTCGTGAGAGTCAGGAGGCATTGGTGGAGACCCAGTCGAAGGCATTATCCCAGAAAAATCTTGACCTTGAATCCCTCGAGAAGGACCACCTGACACTCAAACATACTCTCAAGGAGACAACTAATCTCCAGAATTTGAAGAACTCTGAATTAATTAAAGAATTGGAGATCCTGCAGCAGTCGCAGGAGCACTCTTCTAAGGAAATTGAAGAACTCCAGAAATATTTACAGACAGAAAGGGAGGAATTAAAATCTCTGAAGGAACAGCTTCACATAAACGAAGAGGAAAAATTGAAAATGATTGAAATGTCAAAATTGTTGGCATCAAAATTATCGAGATTAATCAGTGTAATTACAATTGACGATTCGATTGTTCTTGAAGAAAATGAGAAAGAACTGGAAGACATTGATCACTCGTTCGAGGATCCTGCCCTCCAGGCGTTGTCAAAAACCCTCAAGCCTCTTGTGGAATCGACTAGATCGAGTGAAAAAATTCTGTCAATACTTTATGAAGAGAGGAAAAAAATGGTGGAAGACCTTGAGGAAGAGAAACTCAAGTCTGAACGAGTGTTCAAGGTGCAGCAGAAAGCCCAGAAGCTTTCTGAAGACATTGATTTACTGGAATCCGCTCAGAAGCATCAACAAGAGTCAGTTCTCGCTCTGCTGTCTCGAAAACAACGTCTTCAGGATTTACTAAACCAAGTTATCACATCCAGAGATGAAATAGAGAGATCACTGTCCTCTCTCCGTACCTGCTGGACGACGATTTCCCTCGAAAAGCAGTCACTCCTGTCAGGAAGTCCCTCAGCATGCGACGAAGTGAAGCATCTGGACACCAAGAAATTGGAAATTGAGCGGATGATCAATGAAATTACTGAGCGTCACACCAGTAGTTTCCAACCTTTGATGAAAGGTCTCTCTGGAATCTGCATCTGGTCTAGACAACAACTTGAACAAATTTCGGGCATTCCCTCCGTTAAAACCGAACCCAAAGACATCAAATTAAATTTATCCCCTGAAAGTCAGCAAAAAGATGATCCTGACGAGGTGAAACCGAAATCATCCATAAAAAAATTCACAGATGAATTCTCTGACCCCGTAATCGATCCACCATCGTCAGAATCTCTTCTCAACTCGGAACTCCAAAAGAACATGGAAATCCAGAACGATGTGGTCCTTCTCCTGTCAAAAATCGATGATTTCAAGACCCTGATGAGCTGCTACGACTCGAATCTGAAGTCTGGAGTGGTGAAACGAGAACCGACAGCTGAGGAGAAGCTCCAGACTCAGGTGGATCGTCTTAACAAGGAAAAGAAGGAAATGAAGGAAAAGCTCGATGCCATCAGAGTTCGAAATGCGAAAATGGAGAAAAATATGGACGAGCTGAGGGCGGAAAACAAGAAATTGAAGACAGAAGTGACTTCAGCAACTGCAGACTCCTCAGAAATCGAGAGGGTCGTCTCCCTGAACGACCAATTGAAGAGAGAAAATGACGAGTTGAAGAGATTGAAGGAAGAACTTGAGAAAAGTCCAAACAATGGGGATTTCGATGTGAAATTGAAACAGGTGCATGAAGAGTACGGGCAAAAGCTGGAGAAAATCAAGCAGAAGATGAAGTTGGCGTACAACGAGCAGGCAACGAAGATGCAGATGGAGCAGGACAGGGTAATTCGGGAGAAGGTGGCTGTATTGAAGGAGAAAATGGAGGAAATGATGAAGGAGAGAATGGAGACACAGTGCCGGAAGTACACTGTGGACATCAACAAGTACAAAGCGCACGTTAAGGAATTGTCGTCACAGTACTGGGACGTGGGGGAGAAATTACTGGCTGAACAGCAGGAGAAGGAAGTGGCATTCCAAAGACTCAAGGAACTCCAGAGAAAGCACCAGTTGGCAATTGCTGAGGCCAGTCATCAGTTGATTTCCTCACAGAGTCAAATGAGGTCAGCAAGCCTCGACAGGGGCTTCGATCATAATCGCAGTGACATGGGAATCAGGTCCGGACTCAGAGCTTTTCAGATTGTCGAGGAGCAGACGACTACAAGGAGACAGAGTGTCAAGAGCATTCAGGCGATGGGAAATGCATTCAAGGCTGAGGACGAGGATGAGATCTTTGATAATGTCTATTTGGCGGATCTGAAAGAAGGCCAGTTCCGGGCTATCGAGCCTCACACTGATTTCGACAGGCTTTCGGAGCTCAGAATGAGGAATTCCCTCTGCAGGCCTCATCTTAAGAGTTCGTACGCTGTTGAGACTCATCTACATCCTGCTACACTCACTGAGGAAGATATCAAGGTTTGTGGATGATTTTGTCAGGAGATGGGTTGTTGTCCTGGTGGAGGATTAGATGGTGTTTCTGTTGTAGAGTGGGCCACATGAGGATATATTCAATGACAGTCTCAGTCAGAGTCTGCTTCCCGGACAAAAGGCCAAAAAACGAGACAGAACTCAGGTAATTCTCTCATCCTGGAATCGCTTTTAACATTTTTGTGTTTTGTCCATGTGCAGTGCATTAATCAGTGATTGTTTTTGTATGTTATCGTTTGTTCTCGTCGTGATATCATTGTAGACGTCTTATAAACGTCCAGGACCTCCCACACCAAGTAAAAATGGTGGCAGACTTTCCCTGCAGGTAAAAACTCGTTCATTTATGAAAAAAAAAGTGTCCAGAGTTCTCAAATAATTCATAATTTTTCAAGTGTAACTCTTTGTAACATGATTTTTAGGGTAACGAATTGAAGAGTCCGAATTCGAGAATTCTGAAGGAGAAAAATATTGACAGGAGAACAACAGCAACACCGAAACGGCTGAAGGATTTCTTCGGAAGTTCTCTGTCGAGACGTCAGGACGAGGTGAGGGCCACCGATTGCTACAAAATTTCTTCAAGAGATTCCCTTCCTCCTCCCATTTTCCTGTTCCTCCTGTTTGCATTTCCCCTTCAGCTCTATGGACTCTTACTCCTGATATTTATTTATTATCTGTAAATATTATTTGGTAATTGGTGTTTGTCAGAATTTCATTAATTTTTTTTTATTGCAGAATGCTCCGAGTACTCCGAAAGGTCGTCGACTCAGTAGTATATTTCGCAAGCCGAAAACGGAAAGGAGCTAAAAAAATTCCCCAAGTTTGAATAATTCCTATTTTTTTTTATAATCTTTATTACAAAAAAAAATAATAATGTTATCCTCAATAAAATGTAAATTAGTTAAATACTACCAGTAGTAACAAATAATAATTTTAGATACTGATGTTCATTTTTTCTTTCTGTTTTTATGGAGAAATATGAAAGTACGAAATTTCTTCGTAATGACAGAATGCGAAAGATCTTCTGAAATGTTTTTTTATTCTCCGCTATTTTTACCATCCTCCGGGCTTTTCATTCCGAATCAGACTCCTGGAAAATGGAATGAAATAACTTCGCTGAAAACAAATTAAAGAATTTTTTAGAGTGATGAGATATATCTTTTACCATGTATTGTCCTTCAACGTATCTTCCGGAATTTCTCTGTGTTCTCCTGAGTTCTCGGGGCTCTGATTGATCGTGATTTCGACGTCTAAAGAAAAAATTTGAATATTTTTTTCCAAATAATATTTAAATTGAATAAAATGAGCGATCTCTTTTTACTTGAGGAAATTTACATACACTCTTCCTTGAATCTGCATTGCTTTGAATCGATTGTCAATATCTTGTGGTGGACTCTGTGAGTCATCAGCCATGTGTCCAGGAGACTGGAGAGACTGGGGCATACCCTGAAGATCACTATTGTCGAAAAAATTTGATATCCTGGGACGGCCTGGGGGTTTTGTCCCAGGCGGGCTAAAAAAAATCACAGGATATTTCTAAGATTTTTTTATTCTTTATTCAAAAATTAGGAGTGGAGTAAACTGTAATAATTCTTCAGTACTCACGTTGTTTTTTTTGTCGTTCTCTTCTTCTTCTGCTTACTAGAAACAAATATTTATCTTTACAGTGTGAATTTTATGCCTTCCAAAAATATTAATTTACAATAAAATGTTGGGTTCAGGAGCAATAGGGAAAAGGAATTTTCCAATTAGCTTAAAAAAAAATAATTTCCACTGGTAGAGAAATTTTCTGTATTATTAAAACACCAATTTACATTGAGTATATCTTTTAGTCTCATTATCCATCATCAATATATAAAAAAAAATCATTTTTTTATTACAATTTAGCATCTGATATTTTTATGCACTAAAATAAAATAATTAAAAAAGGGCCTGCCATTGCTTTCGAGCCCTCATAGCATCCCTAATGCTCCACTGACACATTTTTCTCATATTCATTCGTTCATTATTTGTTTCGCTCATTTCAAGTGAATCTGATATCGACAGACTGGTGCAGGAGGAAGTTCATCGATTCCTGCAAAATTATTGTTCTAATTTTTAAGACCTTTCATCATATCTTCTTCTTTTTTATTATTAGGATGAAACATTTTTCTGAGGACTTAACAACAATGAAACCCTCTTGCACTGAGCCATCGATTTTTATTGGTGAATAACGTGATGAATGAGAGATGTTAAAATAGTGAATGGAACTCGGTAAATCAAGATAATTCAATATAATAGCGAAGAGACATTTAACTCTCAGAAGTCACGTTTATTTATCTTGATTTTCTGAGTGGCTAAAGTAAATCAAATAAAAATGGTAATTACAAAAAAAAAATGTAAAGAAAAAATGAATGAAGCATAAGCGTAGAAAACGAGCGAGGATGACGTGGCGTAGACACAAATGGCAAAGCAGTTAGTTGATACTGAAAAACCACATGAAAATACAATGATTACTTTCCTTAAAAAAAAAAAAAAAAAACAAGCAAAAAGCGGGAATAAAATACTCAATTCTACGTTGCAATAATCATTAATACTGAGCTACAAAATCAGAAAACTTACCCCATGAACTCATGATCAGAACCCTCATCGGCTTCCTCAGCCTCTTCCTCTTCAATTAATTGATCCTTTTTGCGCCTAGTGTAGGCCCTCTTACTGGTGACAGGGACTTGATCAGTTTCCCCATGCAGCAAACTATTCCTGTACATCAGTAGAGGCTGCCAATCCTCTCCCCTCGAGGAGGGCATTCCGGCAGGAAGTTTGAGATCCAAAAAGGTGAGAACAACTTTTTTATCCTGCCTCAACAATTTATTTGTGAATTCTAGGAGAATCTCGAGGTAGGGAAGATTGGGTGGAGGTCCAGTGGGATCGAGTTCCTCGCCATCGGGTGGAGTGATTGCAAATAAAATTCCTGCCCTGTGGAGAGCAGTGATAGCCTCCCTGTTCTTCACAGCGTCGAGCCCAAAGGACAAAGCAAATCTCTTGGCCAATTCCTTAATTGGAGTAATATCATCGATAGTCCTGTTGTTCCCCTTCTCCAGGACCACGTCATTGTAGAGTTTATTCAGACTGAGTTGCATGGTGAGGGCACAATTTACCTTATTGATATCCCTGGCTTTTCCCAGAGTCGTTTTGATGATATCCCCATAATCATTGTAGTATCTGACGTAATGCTTGAAAACATCGGCAGCTGATTTTGTTGGGATCATATTGTAAACGATAAGTTTGCAGTAGCTAGCCAGGAAGTTTCTCCTCTTGTGAAGTTCTTCGATCTTCGAGTGCTCGTCGTGATCTTCTTCGTCTTCGTCAAAGAACACGTAATCCTGGATAAACTTGTTTAACATGTCTTGCATATCCTGGTCGGGTTCGTAGACCAATTTATGGAGGAGTGGATTTGAATTACTGTTGAGTTGGTTGCAGAACATCACTAGAAGATCGCAGATGGTGTTGTAGGCTTCCTCTCGGAGAGGTACAGCCATTCTGTTCCCTTCACCAGCTACGAAATACCTCATGGCATCCATGAACGTATGTAAACACTTATAGAGTTCCCTCGCCTCGTCCTCCCCCCTGGGCCCCAGGTCATTAGCCTCTAGAAGATGATTTTGTCCCCACAGAATTGAAAAGAAGCACCCACTGATACAGTATTTGGTAGCTTCCTCAGGAAAGCTCCTCTGAGGGTCCTTGGCATCTTCGATGTTTTTATATAAGGATTCCCAGATTTCCCAGCCATTCATATCATGACAACTGTAGAAGATGGCTACTTTCTTCAACGACTGAACGACATTGAATATCTCGTCCTCATCAGGCGTCTCAGCCCCATCGATTAAATTTCGATAATCATCAATAGCTTCCTTATATTTATTGACAATTGAATCGATGAGGGTTCTCCTGGCAGTATCGCACTGTGAAAATTTGGCGTGAGTCTCCACACACATGTACTCGAGTGTTCTGGCAGCAGTCTCCAGGACGTCAGTGTCATGCATCTTCTCGACGATTCCCTTGATCTTCTCAAGTAGAGCTTCAAGGTTCCTCTCCTGCCTAGACTTGACATAAATATCAAGCTCGAAATATTGAGGAATTGCCAGTAAATTAGCTAATTTCTCTGGATCAGCTCGATACTTGTCAAGAAGAAGAGGCAGTGTGACGATGAAGTGTTCGGTGAGCCTTTGCTTATCATCAGACACCTGCTTCTGCTCCTTGGCAGACAGAAGCTTTCTCGTCGGTCCCCTGCCAACAGGTGCCTCTCCAGTGGCTGCTTGTTTGATGCAGCACACCATCAATTCGATCAACGACGTTTCCTTTTGATTGTCAAGGGCCTCCTCCTCAGGACCAGCCTCCTCCAAGAGTAGATCTGTCATGCACTCCCAGTCCTTCATCATCTGATTTGTTTCGATAAGTGAGTCCACGAGATAAGCTCCGTGCTCATGCAGCTCAGATTCAATAAAAAACAGGACAAGATCCCTGATAAGTGGTGTATTGGGAAGCCTCTTCTTGCCTCGTTTCGTCTTCACCCCAGCAACAGCCTCTTCATCAGGAGTAAAGAGCCTCTCATTCAAGAATTCTCCAGCTGCCTGTGCCACAGCCCTGTGGGACGAGTAAACAAGTTCATAAACATGCTCACAGTCTTTATCAGTTAAAATCTCTCGATGATGCTTTAAAATTGATATCACGAGCTTGACAGCCTGCACCGCCACATCATACTCCTTATCCAGTGTCATAGCGACAATTCTGTCCTTGAATTTGCTCGTAAAAAGCTCGAGCTTAGCTTTAAGTTCCTCAGAGGCGTAGAGGGGCTGCAGTGCCTGGAGACACTTGAGCCTGACCTCACCAACTTTATCATGAAGTGTCCAACCGATGTATTTCAGGTATGAATCATCCAAAAAATTTTGATGAAACTTCTTCATCCAGACACCAATCTCAGCCATGCAGATGGCTCTGATTTCAGGTAAAGTGTCCCTATACCTGTGAACAAACACCGACTTGAACATATAAGTCAACATGTTTTTGATCTCATCCATGTTTTCCTCAAGTTCCTTTCGCTTTGCCATGAGAGACTCCAGCCTATCAGCTGCTCGTTTTTCCCTGGCCTTCTGCCTCTCAGACTCGTACTGACGTTGAGTGTTGTCTAGGTTGACTGAGACCGTCAGGGCCACGTCGACAAGCGCTGTCATCAACTTCATGGCTGCCAGAGTCGCTGTATGCCGAAACGCTCGGACTTGAGAGTCTGAAAGACCCGTCAACAACGAGATCACATTGTCCATGAGGAATTGATCGTAAATAATCGAGTATTGGCACTGGCGCACGAGAATCTGTACGAATTCACAAAAATTCGAGCGGAACTTTTTCCAGGGCTGGCCAGTCATGATGAGAGGGTATTCCCCGGACTCCTCATCGAACTCTTCAGTCATTCGACGAATTATCGCCACATGCTCCATCGATGTCTGCATCTCTGAGGTAATTTTTCCCTTGCAGCCACTGGCATTTATGAAGAACTGCATCAAAAGCAAAAGGGCATTGTCTCGGTTTGTCTTGTATTTCTCGATCCACTCATCCACAATGTGCGTCAGGGACGACCGGTTATTTTTTATCACAAAGTAGAGACTCTGCTCGTCCTCGGAGCTCGCGGGGTTAATGAATTTTTTAGCTCTACCTCGACCTCCACCTCCACGAGGCTTCGAAGGCGGCTGTGAGGGAATGTAGTCCGTGTCCACTTCTCGGTATTTTGGTTGAACAACTGCACCTCCTCGCATCCTGGCGCGAGTATTGCGGGTGATTCTCATGTTTGGAGTGGCTGGGGTCATCGGTTGCTCGAACTGGGGCTCGTTAGAAAGCGGCTGCTGGTCCTGGTACTGGTGGTGAGATGTACTTGGCGAACTGTAGGTCTCTGACAGATGGTCCGGAATTGGGGTATGAATTGGCGTCTGTGGTGCCTGATAGGAGGAATAGCCCCCATAATTATCCCCTGTCTCCATGTTATCAGTCATTGGCGTCATCGGTGTCATTGGTTCTTGGTACTCGGGTGGCACAGGATCATCCATGCGGATTCTCTTGCCCCCACGTCGATGCATCATGTTTGGTCGTTATTGAGGTTCTCAAAGCATCAATAAAAGTCACTCTGGAAAATAAACAAATTGATTTTGTGGAAATTGTGGATTACTTCGGTGGTTGAATTTGAGGGATGGAAGGCGATTGTAGGAGGTAATGTTCGAGGGGTTAAAGGGTTTTTAAAGGGAAATCGATATTAAAAACTTGGAAAACACTCACTTGACGATTTTAACGAGTTATTGCTGTTGATCACGTCATTAATGAGTAACCGCGGGAAAATAAACGCCGCAGTTTATCTCAATCCGCCATTTTTCGATGTACTGTGCTGTTTTGGTCGCGGGAATTTCTCAGTTCCACCCTCTAACGTGGAAGTAGTGAATTAATATTTTGGCGGTGAATTTGAATACATCATAAACTTTTTCGTTTTTTAATTGAACAGATTATAGTCTTTCGAAGAAATTAATTAAATGGAAACGATGACAATCTTTTAAAATTTATTTTAATGGTGTATTCCAAAGAGGCAAATTCCTCCCGAAATTCTGTATACATTATCCTAAAAATAATTACTACATGGACTTCAGTCCGGGAACTCTGTACAACAATTCACCGTCACAGTCGTAATAGCGATCCTCAACCCTAAATGTAATTTTCTTGTGTGCCTTGTTCTTCGGTATTTTTATAAACCTGGGGTAATTCTCGGTTCCACTCACTTCCTTTTTCTTCCATTCGACAATTCCAGTGGCTAAACTATCATTTTCTACATTCAGTTGTGGTACATGCACATGAATCATTTTTTCCTGTGACTTCACCTCGCCCACTGCCATCCCCTCATTCTTCTCTTCCAGTTGAGACTCTGAAAAATTCGTCCCTCTTACTTTAATTTTTTTACTTTCATCTATAGATGAACTTTCAATGTCTCCGTCTACTTGCTCTTTATTATCTCGATTTTCTATAATTCTACCCTCTTTATCGTTAAACGGAATTAATCGCTTCGATTTTTCAAAGTTTCGAACTTGAGATTTAGAATTTGAGATGTCACAATCTGCCAAGACATTTTCATCCTTTCTCTTTTTATATTCATCAACAAGTGATTGTTCTTCCTGACTCAAATTATCAACACTGGCAAGTCTAGCAAGAGTTTTATCCATGAACCTATCGAAAGTCATCCTTTTTTTTGTGTCATGATTCGAGTTTTCATAACAGGTTTGCTGTGGTTTCCCATCAGAAATTCGGTAAATTCCCTCTGGAACCTTAGGAGCCTCAATGGTGTCTCGAACTATTGAGCTGAACAAAGTGGCATCGGGCTCTGGGAAAACTGGCGTCGTTTTTACGAATTGCTCAGCAATGGTTTCCAAATCACTAGCCTCAATCTTGCGACCTTTAAAGTTCTTCAGATGAGCCTCGAGTTTGGGGCTGACGGCGATATTTCCGGATCTAAATCGACTCCAATTATCGATTACCTTCTGGTCGTACTTGAGGACAATATTTACATTTCTTGGAAGCCACTTGGCTCGTAGAATTCTGCGAATGGTATCTGGAAGTGCTGGAAAGGATTCACTCAGCCTCTCTGGGGACCACTCTACTGGATCTTTCTCATGCAGTGATTTAATCTGCATCTTCTCGGACCAAGTTATGAAATTGGGGTCGTCTGATTTGAAATATTTCCGCGCGATTATCCGGACTTTGAGTTTCTCTTTTTCGTGATATTTTTCACTGGGAAAATTAAATTAAAAATTCAATGGAGACGTGATAATTGTTTGAAGAGGATAATCCTATTGCACTCACCTCATATATTCTTTGTAAGTTCGATCAGCCCCCGTAAAATCACTTTCGTTCTGCTCCACATCATCAAAATTATCCTCGTCAGGCTCTTCATAATTATCAACATCAGGATAAAGTTGCTTCTCACTCATCACCGATTGTTTCTTTCTGAATCTTTCACCTCGAGGCCGGCCTCTAGCATGATAACCTCTCAGAGTTACCAAAATTGCTGATCTCAATTTATTCATTTTATTGCCCTCCCTCTTGATAACTCAGTGCGTAATTTAATTCTCCATCGAATACAGTTGGTTCCGTCCCTCAATATTAATTAGGAGAGAAGAAGTGAATTTTTAAAGCCAAGTGAATCACCTGTGGGTCCTGGGTCCCTGGGTGCTTCAATGTTCTCCACTTATTTTCCGCTGGTGAAGTCTTTCCACCAAACAGAATTGACTAAAGAAGAGGCTCAGTTCTAGGGGTTTGAGTGACCCCAGCGGCATCGTAGTACTGCACCCCAAGGGATGGAGGGCGCCACACGCAATGGGGGTGTCTGCCCCAGTAGCAGTCCCGTTGTCAGAGGGACCAGTCGATGGAGTGAAAAGCATTTGGAGTGCAGTACTAGCCTCTACTTTAGTCAGTCCTCTTTGAGTGCTGCTAACCTCCCCTATAATCTCTGCTTCAACACGCCGTTTGCAATAACTCCTATTCAAAACTGACGTAAATAGTAAAAAAATGTATTCATCAAATCAGGATTTACAAAGAATTTGAAAATCAGGATTTACGAAGAAAATACAGGTTTATTGTGCACGATATTAGTGGGAAATGAATGCCGCAGGAAGCAAGGTTAGATCCTTTACTGATTTATGAATTACTTTGCTAACGATTATAAATTCTTGCCAGAATTTTTGGCAATGATGGGATGTATTTTTTTTATTCTTCAGAATGCATTGTTTCGTTATTTTTCAGGTGACAGGGGCGCAGCCCATTCAGGAGTACAGCATTCGTGTCCCGAAGTAAGTTCTCCGGTTTTTTTTATCTACTAGTCGGTTCCAAAGAATTTTTGAGGCATCATTACTGAATGCTTTTTTTGCTGCAGGACCTCTAAGAAAAAGCATAATGTAATGCGTTTCAATGCAAATCTCCGTGTGAATTTCTCGGAGTGGTCTCAGGTTAAAATGGAGCGGGAGAACAATATGAAAGAGTTCAAAGGCATCGACGAGGATATACCGAAATTCGGGGCTGGATCGGAGTTTGGTAGGGATGCCAGAGAGGAGGCAAGAAGGAAGAAATTTGGAATAACAAGCAAGAAATACAAGCCTGAGAATCAGCCCTGGATATTGAAAGTTGGAGGAAGAACAGGCAAGAAATTCAAGGGCATCAGAGAGGGTGGAGTGAGTGCCAATGCTGCCTATTATGTGTTCACTCATGCCTCTGATGGTGCCATTGAGGCATTTCCCCTGCAAGAATGGTATAATTTTCAGCCAATTCAGAGGTACAAAGCCCTCAGTGCTGAGGAGGCTGAGGCGGAATTCAGTCGTCGGAACAAAACTATGAATTACCATGCAATAATGGTCCGCAAACGTCTGAGGAATGATGAGGATGGAAATGAAGAGGATGCCGAGCTTGTTGAGGGTGGGAAAAAAGCCAGGAGTTCAAAAAAGGATAAGGATCTGAAAATCTCGGAGATGGATGAGTGGATGGACAGTGATGACGACGATTCCGAAAGCGATGAGGAGAAGGAGAAAAAAGCCTCCGATGATGAGGCTGATGGAAGCAAGAAGAAAAAAAAGGGAAAGGCCCCTCAAAAAAAGAAAAAGAAAAATACATCGGACGATGAAGCTCTGGAGGAGAGCGATGACGGAGACGAGGAAGGGCGAGAGTGCGATTACATATCAGACTCAACGGATTCCGAAGCAGAAGCCGAAAGTAACAAGATAAAATCAGTGGCTGAGGAGGACGCACTGCGAAAATTACTGGCGTCAGACGAGGAGGACGAGGACGAACAGAAAGACAAGACTGAAAAAGAGGATGACTCGGAAAACGACGAGAACAAGGATAAGGATGAAAAAGACAAGGGCAAGGATGGCGATAAGCGAAAGGATAAGGATAAGAAAAAGAAGAAAAAACAGAGCGCCAAGAAAAAGGACACAGCCAAGAAAAATGGAAAGGACTCGTCCAGCGATTTCTCCAGTGACTCCGACACAGATTCCGATGCGCACCAAAAGGACAAGAAGGATAATAAAGTTAATAGTGCTCAGAGCTCAAGATCCGCTACACCCGTTCCCGGCCCTTCCACTAATGATAATCTCAAGAGGAAGACGACGTCCTCTCCTGACATCTCACAGTCCAAAAAACTCAAATTAGATAATTTCAATTCTGCTCCCTCGTCTTCCTACATCCCTGGACTCAGGTAAATATAAACGAGGAAATGTTCATTAATTGAAATTTATTGATGAGAATTGTCTTATCATTTTCCAAACTGCCTTGATAACAAATCATCTTTCATTGTTTTAGCGAGTCCGGGATAACAGAGGATGCAGTGCGTCGTTATCTGACGCGTAAACCGATGACAACAACGGAATTGCTACAGAAATTCAAGTCAAAGAAAACAGGCCTGAAGTCTGACGATTTGGTCAATGTAATGACGTTGATACTCAAGAAAATAAAACCAACTCAGCAGATCGTTAAGAAGAAGATGTATTTATCGATCAAGCCTCAGCCACATTAAATTATCAATTCTCCCTAATTTAAATGATGTCTGTTAAAATATTAATTTATTCACAATGAAAAAACTGTATAAACCCTAATGGAATTAATGTTGAAGTATTAATAATATATTCAATCCTCAGGGAACAATAAAGATAAATAAATCAATAAATAATTGAATGTTCTACCCAATAACACCCCCAAATTCTCAATATTTTTGCTAAAAATGGAGATAACGCCTGATTGAGATATCTTCACCCTATAGTTCCAGAAGAGATAAGGGCCTTCAACAAGAGGGAGAAGATTCGAGATAAAGGAAAGGTCAAACACATTCGAGGAAGTGTGGAAAATAATCAGCACAACTCAATTTAGTTGATTCCAAACGTTTGCACTGAGTTGTTCTGCATTAGTCTCCTCCGGGAATGTGAAGATACTCGAGAGTGGGTCGATGATAAACGCGGAGTTGCAATTGGTATTATTGCAGTGTCATTAAAACTTTTCCAAGATGCTCATGAGAATTTTGCGCTCCATGTGTGTTCCAGGATTAAATCGCTCGACAGGAGCTCTTAATACTGGAATTCTTTTTAGATGTAGTAGTGTAAGTTTATGTCAGATGATTAATAAATTCCCAAAGGCTTGCAATAATTATTGCAATAATTTGCAGAGCCTCCGAGGGAAAGTTATCGCGATTCGTCGTGAAGATCAGTCAGTATGGGAGCGTCGAGCCCCTCTGGCCCCTTCGAATGTCAGACGACTGATTCGAGCAGGTGTAAAAGTAATTGTTCAGCCAAGCAATCGTCGGGCTTATCCAGCCCAGGCATATTTGAAGGCCGGGGCTTTCCTCCAGGAGGACATCAGCGAGGCCTCAGTCATCTTCGGGGTCAAACAGATCCCCATCGATCAATTGATCCCGAACAAAACCTATTGTTGCTTCTCCCACACCATAAAGGCACAGGAGAGCAATATGCCTCTGCTGGATGCCATGCTGGAGAAGAACATTCGACTGCTTGATTACGAGAAGCTCACTGATAACGCTGGCCAGAGGGTCGTTGCTTTCGGAAAGTACGCGGGGGTCGCTGGAATGGTTAACATCCTTCATGGGATGGGATTGCGGCTTCTAGCCCTGGGGCATCACACTCCCTTTATGGTGAGAGCCAGTTTTATTAGAATTTCACGCATAATGAGAAATGAAAATGATATCAACGAGTATTTCATTGAAATCTTTAGCATATTGGACCAGCGCATAACTATCGGGATTCTGCAATGGCTCGTCAAGCGATTCGCGATGCCGGATACGAGATCGCCCTGGGCGCAATGCCGAAGTCAATCGGGCCATTGACATTCGTCTTCACAGGAAGTGGAAACGTTAGTCAAGGTGGTCAGGAAGTATTTCAGGAGCTGCCTCATGAATACGTCACCCCCGAGAGCCTTCGAAAAGTCGCGGAGCACGGGGGTAAGTTCAATAATTATCCCTCAACGAGAAACGAAGAAAAAAATGAGTAACGATGATTTAACTTGTGATACGAGATATCCCTCAGAAATCAGCCAGAAGCTAAACGGACTTATTATAAATGTTTTTAACACATGTACCTTCGTATAATTATTGGCTCCAAGTGCGATAACTTGTGATGACCTCAATGCTAAACCCGTGATATGACTGTTTATCTCAAAAGAAATTGCGCAAGTAAATAAACACGTTTTTATATCCGTCCGGAAAGGGATTACAAAAATAATAGAATCAACCAGAGATTACGAATGCTTGATGTAGCTGAATCATTTCATTGTTAAGGAACAATGTGATCATTGATAATGCATTCGCAATCAGCCTATCTTTTCTCGTACGGGTAATTCATTTGGAACATTGGTATTGCAGACACGAATAAGATTTATAGTTGTGAGGTGAGACGACGGCATCACCTGGAGCGAAAAGAAGGTGGGGGTTTTGACTCTGAGGAATACGATAAACACCCAGAGAGATATATTTCGACCTTCAGCAAAAAAATCGCGCCTTATGCCTCTGTTATCATCAACGGTATCTACTGGGCAGTGGATTCCCCTAAGCTCCTGACTATTCCCGACGCTAAATATCTGCTCAGACCAGCTCATACCCCATGGCTACCCATCAGCGTTGGAGCCCCTGCTTTGCCCCACAGAATGCTAGCGATTTGCGATATCTCAGCAGATCCGGGTGGCAGTATCGAGTGAGTTGTCAAATTATCTCGATAACGCCCCAATTTCCTACATGAGAAAATTGTTTTTTATGGCCAGGTTTATGAACGAGTGCACTACAATCGACACACCGTTCTGTCTCTACGACGCAGACAGAAACAAAGATACAAAATCGTTCAAAGGTCCCGGCGTACTTGTTTGTTCAATAGATAATATGCCCACTCAGCTCCCGAAAGAAGCCACAGACTTCTTCGGCGACTTGTTGTACCCCTATACTCTCGACATTATCCGATCGGAGGCTAAGAAACCCCTGGAGGAGCACAATTTCACTCCAGCTGTCCATGGGGCCATCATTGCCTCCAATGGGCGTCTAACACCGAATTTTGAGTACATTCAAGAGCTCAGGCAGATGAACAATAAATCTAGACATAAAGCTGATGACGGACAGCCCGAGGCCCAGACGGTGAGTTCGGTAAATATCACAAATTATAATTAAAATCAATAGATTCTTTGTGTTATTTCCAAATTAATAATAATCTCGAGTTGTTTTTTCGATTTTTTGTGGCGTTCAAGGGATCGATAAATTTGGAGGAATTAATTGATTTTTCATTGGAAATTAATGCAGGTCGTCGTCTTTGGGGCGGGCTACGTATCGGCCCCCCTAGTGGAGTACCTCCACCGAGACGGGAATATAAAAATAGTTGTGTGCTCTCACCTAAAGGACGAGGCAGACAGTCTTGCTAACAAGTATCCTGGAGTTGAATCCGTCTTCCTGAATGTCACTGAACGCCCGGACACCCTGCGAGAAATCGTCAGTTCTGCCGATGTCGCTGTGTCTCTCCTGCCATATGGTCTGCATCATGTTATCGCCAAGACATGCATTGAGTGTCGGACGCATTTAGTCACTGCCAGTTATCTGAACGATGAGATCAGGGCTCTGCATGAAGAGTGAGTTATTCTAGCTGTAAACAACAAGAAGATAAAATAACAATTTGACAACTTAGTGATATCCCTCAGGAATTTTATAAAATATCTTGACAAGTTGTATTAAATGTTTTCTCACCTGTCCCTTTCATCCCCTTGAATATCCTCATCTGATGAACTTCTTCCCCCAACTTATTTTTAATATGTAGAGCTGAAGGCGCTGGAGTAACAATACTCAATGAAGTGGGTCTGGATCCTGGGATCGACCACCTGCTGGCCCTCGAGTGCTTTGACGACGTGAAACAAGCTGGTGGAAAAATAGAATCCTTTATCTCGTGGTGTGGAGGCCTTCCAGCCCCAGAGTGTTCTGATAATCCTCTGAGGTATAAATTTAGCTGGTCACCTCGAGGAGTTCTACTAAATACTCTGTCACCGGCGAAATATTATCACAATGGCCAGGTAAATCATTCTTCTTTATTACCTTAAAAACTTCAAATGGGAGAGGAAGGGACTGGATGAATTTGTGTTTAGGTCGTAGAGATTGCGGGAGGGGGTGACCTGATGTCAACTGTTCAAGATCTGGACTTCCTCCCAGGATTTGCCCTCGAGGGTTTCCCAAATCGCGACAGTACTATGTACAGAGACCTTTATGGCATCCCAAATGCCTCCACCATTCTCAGGGGAACACTGAGATTCAAAGGATTCACTGATACAGTGCAAGCCCTTCAATATCTAGGACTCGTTGATCCCAATCCCCACCCGAGTTTACATCCTAATGGGCCTGACATCACTTGGGTGACTAGAATAATTTATTTATTCATTTATTTTGTTTGGTAATTGTGGCATCAGGATTAATAAGAGATAAGGAGTTACTCATCTCCAGAGAACTTTGATCTGCAATCTCCTGGGACTTTTGAACGACGACATATTCTACGAGAACTTGAAGAGAAAACTTGAGGAGCGGTTGAATTCCGAGGTACGGGTCAAAGCTATAGAGGACCTGGGGCTGCTGAAGGAGGATCCGGTTCTGAAACTTAATACTCCCCTGGACACTCTCACTCACTATCTTTCTAAAAAGCTCAATTATGAAAGAAATGAACGGGACCTGATTGTACTCCGTCATGACGTTGGAATTCTCTGGCCTGATAACAAAAAGGAGGAGAGGGGAATCAATCTCGTGATTTATGGAGACTCCAGGGGAGGACACTCTGCCATGGCCAGGACTGTGGGGTATCCGGCTGCACTTGCTGCAAAAATGATTCTCGATGGTGAGATTGATGGGTATTTGTGAATTCGTGAAGAGGAATTAGACAAATCAAATTTTACAGCCTTACTTGACCGATTTCCCACTGAAATCGTTTGTTAATTAATGTTTTCTATAATTCTTTGAAGGTGAAATTCAACAACGGGGCGTTATCCTTCCGTTCACACCGGACATCTACCGTCCAATACTGAACCGATTGAAATCCGAGGGAATTGAATCTTTCGAGACATCCAAGTGGGAATGATAGGAAAATATCGAGTATTTGATTTTATCAATCACGGATTGTAAATAAATTCTCATTTCCAGATAGTGGACATCTTAATTAAAATTTCAGTCAAATTATCTCATAAAATGTATCAATATTCTATTGAACGTTAATAATATGAAGATGACATTTATTCTTGAATTATTTCGCTATAAAATAGATTTTCACTTACTTTCTTCTCAATAAAATCACTTAGTGTCTCTTAATAAAAAAAAATTCTAAAGTTATGTACTTTGATTAATTATTAGTCCACTAAAATATCTTTTTTCACGTTGGATTTAAAATCAGGTAGGTTGATAACCGGGGCCTTTCCATCTGGCACTTTCCCCGGGCGGAGATAAGGATTATCAATGGCGTCTTGTTGAGTTGAAACTTCTCCGTTTTGCTCTACAATTTCTGTAGACGCTGCTGTGGATTAATGAGCGAATGTTTATTGAATTTATGTTTGGACTACCATACAAAATATGTAATTGTTGAGATACCTTGACAATTACCTTCTTCTTTTTTCTCTTCCGCTGGTTTGGGTTCTTTCCTTTTTTTCACAGGACTCGGCTCGAAGTTAAACTCAGGTTCAGGCTCGAATATTTGGTCCTGGGGGAGAAGGGCTGACAGGTAGCTCGGAAATTGTGGCTTGCAAGCAATTACTGCAACGAAAAATTCATGAGATTTGCCATATTTATTTAATTGAGGTAAAAAAAATAATTTATACTCACGAGGAAACGCACTGTTGTCGTCAGAGAAAAATAAACTATGAGTATCTCCAGTTTTCGCAATGAACCTGGTGAGAGCCCTTTCTATGTCTCTCTTTTGAGACGCAGCTTTTTCCCGGATAGCTTCATATTCAGTAACCGGTTGTTTATGAGTCTGAGATCAATTGAAATAAAATTATTTAATCTCATACTTGTAGCTCTCAATTTACTGTACGAAATAATTTTTTTAATTTTGTTATTAGAGTGAGGTTCTGATGGACAAGGTACTTACAGGAGTTCTGATATAGGCGTGAGGGTCGGGAAAGGCTGGCAGGTAATTAGGGATGTGTGAGGGATGGGGCTGCTTCACCCCAGCCTGAAGAATATTTAATTGTTTGGATTGCGTCTGCTGCTGGAGCTGAGGGAGCACAGTTTTTTGGGGCCTCTTGCCGTAACTCTCGAGACCGTCCAGTTTGATTCCCATGTTTATCAGAGCAACTATCACGTCGGCAATTAAAGGCTCTGTTCTTCCGGCTAATTCACTGTAATTCCTGGCAGATTCTCCCACCTCGACGATGACTGCAAGGTAAGAATTGATATTTTCAGGTTAAGATTGGCAACGAAATGATTAGTGGAGATTGCAAGAACTTACACGACTGTATCATCTCAGTCAGAGTTTCTAACACTTGTCGATCACAAGTTTCATAGCCACACTCCACTAAAATACTACAAACTGCGTGGTTTAGGATTTTTCGCCGCGAATTCACATACTGCGGCTCCATGTTTACTCCTTTGATATTCTCAAAGAGGATTGACTAAAGTGGAGGCTCAGTTCTGGGGGTTTGAGTGACCCTAGCGGCATCGTAGTACTGCACCCCAAGAGAGGGAGGGCGCCCCACGCAATGCTGGGGTGTGAATGCTTTTTGTTTTTTATTTGTTTAACTGAAATTGAGCCGACTGTAGAACGTGCGGAAGGGGGAAACCATATCTTGTGGAATTTCAATGAAAAAAATATTCAATTTGTTGCAGATATACCACTAATAAAATTTTGTTTTTAGAATGAGCGCGTTGTCTCAATGGTAACGTACTTGCCTGCCACGCCGACGGCCCGGGTTCAATCCCGCCGTCATTCATTTTTTTTTTCATAAATAATTCCATTTTTATCTTTTTTAGATGGCTAATCAATCAAAAGATTGTTTAAAAACTGAATATTTGAAAATCGAAAAGATATTCAGTGAAATTGACAAATTAACAATTTTTTAAAACGATACTTTTGCAAAATATATACTCCTAATGAAATTTTATTATTGCAATAGTGCGTTATCCTAGCGGTAACGCGCTCGGCTAGCACGCCGACGGCCAGGGTTCAATCCCGCCGTCATTCATTTTTTTTTTTTAAATAATTTCAATTTTTTCTTTTGCAACTGCCTAATAAATCGAAACATTGGTTACAAACTGAATAGCTCCTCGATTGTCATGTTCCCCTGATACTTTGACAAAAATTTCGAATTTTTCACCTTCAGTGAAAATTTCAGTGAATAGCTCTTCGGTTGTCATGTGCTCCTGATACTTTGACAA